TACGGCAGCTAGGGGAGAGGGGAGACAAAAGGCCGTAAAAATGGCGGAAATGACAAAGGAGTTACTGGTTGCCGCGTGCAAAAATAACGGCGGCTATGCGGCTCCTCGCCTCAACGATCAGTTGTTCCTTCAGTGTCGAGGGTTTCTGCGCATTGAAAATCTCGAGGATTACGTGAACCTTAAGGTCTTGTGGCTAGAGCAAAATGCCATCACTGAGCTCACTGGTCTGGAGACGTTGCAGCAATTAGTGTCTCTTTTTGTTCAAAATAACACAATTACTTCTCTTCGTACACTTGCGGTTTTGAGTAACTTACGTGTTCTTAATGTTTCTCATAACTACTTGACTTCCCTTGCCGGCATCGCTCAGTCATGCGGGCAACTAGAGACACTTCAAGTCTCGCACAACCGTATATGCAGTCTGGATGCCTGTACCGAACTGTGGGAACTTAAGAACACCCTGACCAGCGTGGACCTTTCTTTCAACAAGATTGAGACGGACGAGGGAAATCTAGGCCCAGTGGAATTCTTTACACATCTTTCAAATGTGAGTGTAATTTACCTTCATGGCAATCCCACGATTTGTGGATTGAAAGGTTACCGGCGTCAGATGGTTTTGTCTCTTCCTCAGTTGACGTACTTGGATGAGCGGCCCGTTTTTCCAGAGGAACGCCGTTGTGTGGAGGCATGGGGTGCTGGCGGAGAGGCGGCTGAGAAACAGGAACGTGCGGCGATTCAAGAGGAGAAAAAGAAGCACCTGGAAAGTTGCGTGAGAGTTTTCTCTGATCGTATGGAAGAGAACCGCGCTGTTCGTGATAAACTGACGAAACAGTGGGATGAAAAACGTGCATTGGAGCTGGAACGTTTGAAGAACATGCGTCGCGAGTTTCGCACCCAGCAGGAGGGAATGATACTCATGGAAGAGCGCTGCAGGCTTTCTGTGGTTGATGCCGAAGTGGCTTCGCGTCTTGGCATCGAGGAGGGCTTCCGCGCCGCAAAGATCCCCCTGGACGCCTCAGAGAGGGCACACCGCAAAGCCTACGACCACGAGAAGGCGGTCGAAGCCGTGCGGGAGGAAGCGCTTAAAGAGATTGAAGAGGAATTTCAACAGCAACAGTCAGAGCATGAGGTTGCGCAAAATTCTACTTTTGGTTTGTTGATGTCTGACGAAGAGATGCTGCAGGAGATGGAGGAGGAAATACTGCGCGTGCTGGAGCCTCTTGGCGGGGCTCATCAGTTAAGCCGAACGACGTTGAAGATGACGCGTGCGGTGGATGCTGTGACCACCCGCCTGTGTGGGGGAAAAAAATGCTCGGCATCATCGCAGCGGCTGCGACTCTGGGAAAAGTTTGCTCTGTGGGAGGAGGGTCGTGTGAAGCAGTAAAAAACTGATCTGACTGCTCCACGAATGTAAAGTTATAAAGGCTTTTCGAGAGGGTGGGAAACAACAACTACAAACACCAGCTTTGAAAAGAGAGTGAAACAAAAAAAAAAAGGGTCTAAGAGGGGTGAGAAGTCTCCGGAGAGCCATAATTGATTCCCGTTTGTACTCTGCCTGCGTCATCATTGGAGGAGGATTAGTTTTTGTTTTGTTTTGTTGTTGTTGTTGGTTACCCTTTCCTTTTTCTTCTATTTCTCTTTCTGTGGATGTGTCCATTTGGGGCCTGTGGAGCTAGGGTGCAGAAAGAAGTGACATGTCGGTTAGGAGCGTTGTTCTTGTTACTGGAGGAAGCGGCCTTGTAGGAAGGGCTCTTGAGGCAGTTCAGAAGCGTAATCCTTCTGCCGATGAGAAATGGGTGTTTTTGTCAAGCCGGGATGCAGACCTCACATCGATGGAAGCAACGAAGGCAGTTTTTGAGAAATATCGACCCGATCTTGTCATTCATTTGGCGGCGAGGGTTGGTGGCCTATTCAAGAACATGAGACAACCTGTAGAGATGTGGCATGAAAACGTTGCCATTAATAATAATGTTCTTGAGTGTTGCCGCATATATGGAGTCAAGAAGATGGTCTCCTGTCTCTCAACCTGCATTTTCCCCGACAAAACGACATACCCTATTAACGAGAATATGCTACACGATGGACCGCCGCATTGTTCGAATGAGGCTTATTCCTATGCGAAGCGTATGATGGATGTTATGAACCGTGCTTATCGGAGCGAATATGCATGTAATTTTACATCCGTTATCCCCACCAACATATATGGGCCCCATGATAATTATAATCTGCAGGATTCGCATGTTGTCCCCGGTCTTATTCATAGGTTTTATCTGGCGAAGCAGGCGGGCATGCCAGTGACTGTGATGGGTACAGGTAAGCCTCTTAGGCAGTTTATTTACAGTGAAGATTTGGCAGAACTGTTGATTTGGGTAATGCGCGAGTACACGGAAGGGAGCCCAATCATACTTTCCGTTGATGAGAGTGACGAGGTGTCTATCGCGGATGTCGTTAAAATGATTGCAGAGGCCATCGAATTCAAAGGCGATATTGTCTTTGACACCAGCAAGGCGGATGGGCAATATCAAAAGACGGCAGATAACAGTAAACTTAGGAAGTACATACCCGAATATAAGTTTACCCCCATGGCCGAAGGCATTAAGCGATCCGTCGAGTGGTTCGTTCAAAATTACGACGTGGCTCGTAAATAAATTTGATGTCGTTGTTTCTTTCTTCCTTTTTTGAATTTTGTTTCTCTTTGGACCCTTTATTTTATGGCGCTTTTCGTTACCTTTTCCATCCCTCCGCTTTGCCAAATGAACACGTTCTCCCTTCTTTGTATATCCCGTTTTGCACCTTTTACAATAATTCTTCATCATCACGAATGAACACAGCACTTTGACCTCGAACTTCGAGTAATAAAATCAAGGAAGCATGCCCGCCAAGTCTGCCAACAAGCCTGCATCCAAGCCCGCTGCGAAGCCTGCCGCCAAGGCTCCCGCGCCGAAGGCGGAGAAGAAGGGCGCTGCCAAGGCCCCCGCACCCAAAGCTGCTGCCCCTGCTCCCAAGGCTGCTGCGGCTGCGCCCAAGCCCGCTGTGAGGGACGCAAAGCAACGCTCTGATGCTGCCAATCACAACGGCTTGTACGTGAAGAACTGGGGCCAGGGTTCTGTGGACGACGCCAGGGCGCTTTTTGGCACTGCTGGGAAGGTTGTGGGTGTGAGAGTGCGTCGTCGCCGTTACGCCATTATCTTCTTTGAGAACGCAGCGGCTGTGAAGAAGGCCATTGATCTTTTCAACGGGAAAGAATTTATGGGCAATGTTTTGTCCGTTGTTCCCGCCAAGACGACTCCAAAGCCGGATCCGCATGCGAACTCCTCTGTTGTGTTTGTTTCCCCGATATTCCGCGCGTCGACTACAAAGAAGCAGATTCTTGAGCTTTTTTCAGGCATGAAGGTACTGCGCCTGCGCACGTACCGCAACAACTACGCATACGTCTATCTGGACACCCCCGCTGCCGCGCAAAGGGCTGTGAAGGAGAAGAACGGTGCAGAGTTCCGTGGCAAGCAACTCAGAGTTGCCCTCTCGACCCGTTCTCTTGCGAAGGACAGGGCTCGTGCGGAGCGTGCAAGACTTCTTATGGCCGCCCAAAAGTTTAACAAGAGAAAGAACCACACGAAGTAAGAGAGGAGTGCTGTTTTAATTGTTTTAAATTTTTTTATTCTTTTTAATCTTAATTTATTTTCAACTTTCATCTGTAGAGTTTTACTTTCTACACGTGTTGAATGAGTATATTTTTTTCTCTGTTTGCGCATTTGTTTTTGGCTTTTTTATTCTTTCTTTATAGTATGTATGTATATACATATATACGTATATACATGTTTATATACGTGTGTGTTTTGCATTGTTATCTTTTTAGTGGAGCTCTTTGAATTTACATTGTGACGCTGCACACGGCTGTGATGGGCCTGAAAAGGCTTAGCATTTGCTGTGGAGAAGCTTCTGGTGTAGAGGGTTTCTTGGCTTTTGCACCGGTTTCGACTGATCGTATTCCTTCCGAATTGAGGAAACGAGTTGAGGCACTGCATGTGAATCATCAAATGCCGTACGTCCTTTCGCGTGTGGCAGCGTCAGCGGCTCTTTCATTGTCACTGAAGGCTCCATTTCTGTTTGTGGGTAGCAGAGAGGAGGCGCGAAAATATGGAGCCAATCTCTCACTTTCTCATGAAGATGCAGTTGGTGGTGCAGTGGCATGGTGTGATAATGTGCCTTTTGTTTTTGGTATTGATGTCGTTGATGTAAAGCAGTTAGCTCGTGTTAGGCGACGATTCCCACATTTTGCCGCGCGTTGCATGCCCTGTTGTCAGCCTAGTATGTTGGACGCCGTTGAATTGTTGAAGGTCCAGACGATGTACGACGATTGTATCGATCCTTCCGATGTAGTTTTGGCACAACATTGGGGTCTTCGCGAGTGTTGCGTCAAGCTTGTTGGTATTTTGGGGCGCTCATTCCCATTTGACTGCTTTCGTGGGCCTATCGCGATGTTTCCTGAGCGTTTTGAAGCACACATCGTGGGAAGTGGACGCGAGGCACTGCATTCTGCTGGTCTCCATTCGAAACTTTTTGTCACTTTTTGTCCGCAAGTTGTGCAGCTGCCATCGGGGGAGCAGAGACCGTTTGTGATAATTGTGGCTGCTTGCCCTAAGTTACATCAACACTGCCTCTGATATGCATTTATTTAGTGCTTTTGCTGCTATCGCCACATGTTTGTTTGATGATACTGTTGCTTGATTGATTGGTGAGAGCCGAAAACAACTAACACGAGAAACGAAAAAAAGGTAGAATGATGAGAAAAAAATGGGGTGGTTTTTCTGATTTAAAATTGTCAAATACCTTACTTTTATGCCTTTTTCTTCATTTGAACATATAGCAATTTAGCAATACTTCGACCTCGAACTTCGAGTAATAAAATCAAGGAAGCATGCCCGCCAAGTCTGCCAACAAGCCTGCATCCAAGCCTGCATCCAAGCCTGCCGCCAAGCCCGCTGCGAAGCCTGCCGCCAAGGCTCCCGCGCCGAAGGCGGAGAAGAAGGGCGCTGCCAAGGCCCCCGCACCCAAAGCTGCTGCCCCTGCTCCCAAGGCTGCTGCGGCTGCGCCCAAGCCCGCTGTGAGGGACGCAAAGCAACGCTCTGATGCTGCCAATCACAACGGCTTGTACGTGAAGAACTGGGGCCAGGGTTCTGTGGACGACGCCAGGGCGCTTTTTGGCACTGCTGGGAAGGTTGTGGGTGTGAGAGTGCGTCGTCGCCGTTACGCCATTATCTTCTTTGAGAACGCAGCGGCTGTGAAGAAGGCCATTGATCTTTTCAACGGGAAAGAATTTATGGGCAATGTTTTGTCCGTTGTTCCCGCCAAGACGACTCCAAAGCCGGATCCGCATGCGAACTCCTCTGTTGTGTTTGTTTCCCCGATATTCCGCGCGTCGACTACAAAGAAGCAGATTCTTGAGCTTTTTTCAGGCATGAAGGTACTGCGCCTGCGCACGTACCGCAACAACTACGCATACGTCTATCTGGACACTCCCGCTGCCGCGCAAAGGGCTGTGAAGGAGAAGAACGGTGCAGAGTTCCGTGGCAAGCAACTCAGAGTTGCCCTCTCGACCCGTTCTCTTGCGAAGGACAGGGCTCGTGCGGAGCGTGCAAGACTTCTTATGGCCGCCCAAAAGTTCAACAAGAGAAAGAACCACACGAAGTAATGCTATTTTTTGCAATGTGCAGCTTCACTTTATTATTTCTTATTTTTTGTTGTTTTTTTTAGGCATGCAAACTTTTGTTTTTAATTCTCCTCGTCGTGGAGGTGGTGTTTTTTTTGTGTGTGTGTGTGCTGGTTAACTGCTTGTTGTTGTTCTGGTAAATGTTTATTTCTTTTTTGTTTATTATTATTAACATTAATGGTTTTTTTCGCCGTGCTGAAATAGTGGGAGAGGTGTCATGGACGTTGTGGCGACGCCGTTGTGGTCTTCTCCTCCGTGCGGCTCACCGATGGCGGGGACTGTGAGCAGCGGGAACCCTTTGTTTCATGTGGGGAGGTCGTACTACCGGAGCGCCGCCAAGGCTTACAACATGACACGGTACGTTGTGGAAAGTCTGAAGCTGGATGAAACGGTGCTTGCGACGTCAATGGCTTACTGGCACACTTTTGTGGATCGTCTTGAGTTGCGAAAGTTTGATGAGATAGTGCTGAGCGCATCCTGTGTATTTTTGGCGAGTAAAGTTGAGCATTACAAAGTGCGCCTAAACCGGGTAATTGCGCTTGTTTTTGAAATCAGTGGGGAGGGCGATGAGATGGAGGGGTGGCGAAGGATGTTGTTGGAGATGGAGCTGCTTGTTTGCCATACGCTGGGCTTTAATTTTCAGATAATTCACCCAATGAAGCGTATCGTCGAGTTGGTGCCGGAAGATCACACGCAAGTGTTGGAATGTGCACATCGCCTCTTTTTGCTTTCGTTTATGACTCCTTTGTGCGTTCGAGTGCCAGCCGATGAGGTGGCGGAGGCGCTCGTGTATCTAGCCGCAGATGGCGCTGGACAATTAGAGCCATACGCCGGAAAATTTAGGTGCGATGCGGTGGAGCGACGTGAAGGCATTATCAATGTCATGATTGATGCCTTAGCTGTGATGCGGAAAAATACGAGTTTACCGAAGGTTGATGACATGATCGTTGCGCGACGGAAACGAATGCGTGAACAGGAATCTTTCCGCCCTTCTGTTGCGCACTCCAGCGGTGGGACAGGTAGCCTGGACGTCACTCCTTCTGCCTTTTTGGTGGAATAATGCGAAAATTTGCTTCCTTCAACAAATTCTTGTTCTTGTATCTCTAGTGCCACACATCTTTTCTTCCTTTTGGTGTCATTGAGAATGACCTTGTTTTTTTTTTATTTTTTTTTTTTTTTTTTCGTCTTTTATTTATTTATTTATTGTTATTTTTTGATGACGCTCTCTTTTCTGAATGAAAGCGTCTGGCGTTTAGCCGTAATGCACTTAGTTTATGGCTGTCCGGCAGTGTACTCGTGGGATCCTCAACCGAATGATTACGATGGGCGTTCGCTGGCGGTGTTATCAAGTTCTGTGGGGAATTACATCGTCGTGCTGTCTTCAACACAACTACACTTTTGGACAGGCACCAGCGACATTATTTATCTTGGTTCAGTGCGAATAAATGGTGCCACAGTCGATGATGATCCAGCGACCCACTTCTTGTTGCATGCAAGGGGAGACTATTTAGTGGTCACAACACTACAACGACGCATATTATTTTTTAACATCTCTCTGGAAGTGAAGAATACGGAGGTGCTGGCTCCGTTGTATCACGATAATTTGCTTCGAACCGGTTCCTTTGCTTCCCGTGTGCGTTTTTTAAAGGAGGAACGTTTAGAGTTTGGAATCGTGACATCACTCGCATCAGGCGGATCGAACTGTTTTTTTGTCTGTACAACGGCCGGGGTGGTTTGCGTGATGGGTTGGTTTCAACAAAAACTTTTGCATACATGGAGTTGTCGTTCTCTGGGCAGGGATGCCCTTTCTTTTGTTCCCCTAGATGAGATGGGGGAGGAGCATGCAGACTCGAGTATGCGTGTGTCACGCGGGGATATTTTGTCTGGGTCGATTTTGGATGTGTGCCATTCTTCCCAAATAAAGTTGACGGTGTTTTTGTTGTCGAATGGATACGTTGTTTTAGCCCAAAGCAATGTGGGAAGTGACTTTACAAGGGATGACATCGCCTTTTCGCTCAAGTGTGCCGCTGCCACATGTGTAGCTCGTGTGTCGGTGAATTCAAGGCACATGCTGTTAGTGATGGCCACGGATGCGGGTGACGTCATGTGTAAGTGGATTGGTGAAGATCTTTCGCTTAAACTCATGTGGAATGGACTGAAGTGCCTGAGGGGCGTGAAACGGCATGGTCCTATCGGCGAATTGCTTTGGAGCCCCGACGAAGAATTGTTATGCGTTGGTTTCTATCACCTTGGCGTGTTTGTTCTTCATTACAGCGGGGTTTGCTTGTGCTCCTCGATGCTTTTTCATAATCCTCAGCGACGCGTGGTTCAGGGGTGCATTTCATTTTTATGGGCCTCTCATGGCCATCGCCTGTTTGTCGTTGAACCACTGAGTGATGGGTTTACGGAGTACAGTTTCGGTCAAATTATTTCAAGCCCTTGCGGGGAAACCACGGGCTGCTTTACCCCAATCGTTGCATTTAACAATGATTCGCTGCGCCTCGCGGGGAATTTTCCAGCGGGAGGAGGACCTACTTTCAACGATGTGGTCAGCGTTCGCTCGCAGTACGCGATTGAGAATTACCCTCTGACGCAAGGCGCCGTAAGCCCAGATGGTGGCTCTGTGGTTCTTGCAGGAAAGAACGGGTTCGTCCTGTTTGACTGTCTCTCGCACCGTTGGTCTGCCCTCCGTGAAAAAAAACAAGAGGCAGAGTTTTTCTGTGTAGCCCAACCGCTCTGGCTTAGTAACATCGCAGTTGTGATGCCCGTTCGGATGAATCGCAGTCGTAATTTTGAGTTGCGTGTATACGCACGCAGGTGTTTGGATGAAAATGCCCTTTTGTACCGAGAGCCCTTGGAAAGGATGCCGCTACAAGTGTGTGAATGCCACGAAGAGTTCAATGACATGTTTATTCTTTTGCTTGATTCTTCTAACGCACTACTCCTTTGGCGCTGCGTGATTGCACATGACAGGCACTCTTATTTACCAGATGTCAAAATATATTTGGAATTTATTAAACGCACACAGTTACCAGATGGTCTTGTATATCCTGTGGGAATGGCAGGCATTCATCCTGCACGGAAAGGAGCTAAGAGGACATCTTTTCTTTCCTTTTCAAGTCAACGAAACGGGTACGAGAATGCCTTGCCTTATGCGTTGTTTATTCTACGAGGTTCCCACGCCTTGGTTTCTTTTGACCTTGGTGCAGCCGCAACCAATACATCCGAGACGTCGTCTGCAATCAAGATTCTTATTTCGGATGGTGTTTGCCGCATTTGGATCGATTATTCCGTGCCAATGGATGGAAGTGTCGTCATTGTTTTTGGCGTTCATGGTATTAATTTCCTTCATTTGCTTGGTGGAGAGGATGACACGGAGATTTTCCCAGTTGTACACGAATACGCTGTGTCGGAATTTGATGCCGAATCTATTCCAGTAGGACTTTCTACGTATAACGGCTGTCTTTTTACTGCTTTCTCTACGAGGGAAGTTATCGGCTCTATTGGTGGGACGTCATCCACCGTTTCTTTGCGTATCTCTCTTAAGCCTCTTCTCTACAATTTTTGTGTATTAACGGCATTGACATGCATGGGTTTGCCGAGCTTGGAGACAGTTAATAAGAAGACGCCTAGTAATGTTAATCCTTTTCCACTTCTGATGTGGAACGATCACTTACTCTATTGGCTGGAAAGTATGAGACGAAACGGTACCTTTATTCCTAACGCGGACTATTTTTTGCATACTCTTATTTCTGAGACCATTCTATGTAGCCTTGATCACGATTCCCGACTGGCTGCCGTTCAAGCGACCGTATCCCTTCTTAGGCGGTACTCGGAGTTTTACAGTGTTGTGGTGAGCTGCATGCGGATGTTGGATGTTTCTCAGTGGAGGAAACTTCTCGATGTTTTGGGTTCTCCTTTGGAGTTTTTCCGGGAATGCATTGAAAACCGCCGGTTTGAGGAATCAGCACAGCTACTTCGTGTTATAATGTTGGATGGTAACTTCCCTGACGATGGTGCTTCCGTGAAGTCACTGGAAGCTACCATGTTGTGCGCTGTGCATTTATTTGTGTTGGCCTTATGGCGGCGCAATGTCCCTTTGGTTCATGATTTGCTGCGCTTCATGGCGTTGCTTCATACGGAGCTTGTGTCGCCCGATTTTGAAACTGACCGCAAGGCCAACGGTTCCGGGGTCTGGAAGCGTTTCTTAACTGCTGTTGGTTTTCAGAAGGATCTGCCGCAGGATTTTTCTCTGGAGACAGAGCAACTTTGTCTGCTTACACCGGAGGAGGTGTCTGGTGGTCCATCCAACTCGGAAATGCTACAACGACGCTCCGTGGTTGAATTTGTTTTACGCAAATACCCGAAAGTGAGGCAGGCCGTACACGATGTCTTTTCGGAGTCCTTATTTGCAGGTCATTTGATGGTTCTCCGTGATATTTCACATGAGTTATTTATTGCTCTGAGGCATTTTGTCACCACCAAAACACAGTCAACGATGAGAACTTTGCGCACCAAAGCTTCTGATGACGCGGTAACGGAGGATGATAGCTGCGAGGGAACGCCGGAGCTTATGCACCTGCCAGCTCTTTTTGATGGAATTCACGATGAGCTTGGCCTGCCTCGCAGTCTTCGTTGTATTGGAACAGAGTTCCAGGATTCTGTCATCCATTTTATGGCAACGGAGGAAACTGGATCCAACATGGCGTTGTGGACCACTGCACAGAGTTATGTGTACACCACCCCTAGGATGGTGGAAACGATTCTTGGAATCCGTGATCTGTACTCCATCTGGGATGAATGCGTATTGGCTGTGAACGTTGTCCTAATGATTGAGGATGCGGTAATACAGCAAATACAAGCCGCTCCTACGTTTGTAAAAGCGCTACAACATCTCATAGCGCAGCCACAGAATGCCGGGTACACAACCTTTGTACAGGGATGCATCAATGCCTATGACACAGCGAATTTGTCGACAGGATCAATGCCGTCCGCGGTGTGAAGTGCTTTGCGCGCATTTGGGATTTGTTGATTGAAATAGATTGTGTAACTTCTCACTCTTTTTTTTTTGTTGTTGTTATATTTATTTTTACTGCAATTGTGGCCCAAGAAGAGGAGGGGAAAGAAACAGTGAAGGAGTAAGATACGGAAATGATGGTGAAGAGGGTTATTGTAGTGTTTTTTGTCTCTTTTTTTTTTTTTTTTTTTTTTTTTTGTCGGGGGTTCATTGCTTATCCTTTGGTAGGCCTATGAGGAATTGTTTTTGTTTTTTATTTGCATTTTTGTTGTTGTTGTTGTTTTTTTCCTTTTTATAAGAGAATGCAGCATAAGATTTTATTTTATTTTATTTAATCTGCAGTTCCATGAGGACCGTGCAAGGCGAATACTGCGTCTTATACTACTGAAATGAAATTTATTTTTATTCTCTCCATTCTTTTTTTTTTTTCTTATTGCTTTAAGGAAGTTGTTTGTTTGGTGTGTTTTTATTTTATTTTATTTTTTTTTTGTATTTTTTTGTATTTTTTAATGGTGTCGAGGCGCTGGAAGCGAAGGAGGCCGCTGCTGTTTATTGCGGCGCTGTATGTTGTGCTCGGCCTCACATTTGTAGGTTTATGCCTGCTCGTACTCACTGACCGTGGCCACCGCAAGGAGGAAGTGGGAATGCCGCAGTTTCATGCTGCGGATAATTTTTCGTCGAATGCGGTGCCAACTGAGAACACAAACAACTTAACGCGGGTTTTTTCTTTGAAAGAAATTGTGTGTGACGGCTTTTATCGTTTTCGTTCGGTGGCGGATGGCCGCTGGCTTGGCCACTCGTCGGAAGGCCTCTACGGTGGGGTCTTAGATAAAACATTGGGTGTTGAGTGTGGAGCAACCAAGGGAACATACGCCATTCAGGCGTGGAGCTCCTTGTTTCTCTCGGCACACACCGATGGAAGTGTTGGGATGGACCGTCCAAAGGCGAGGAAGGCAGAAATGTGGAGTTTTAAATTTTTGCGCGGAGCAGGCACCGTCGCCCTTTGGTCGGTTGCCAGAAGGTGTTTTGTGCGCATATCTGGTGACCGCTTGATGTGCAACGCAAAGACTTTAGAACGGGCAACCCACTGGATGTTCTACATTGAGCCCCAAAAGACCTGTCGTTCTCCAGGAGCAGGCGAAGGTAGGGACACAGTGACACGTGCCTGCTGGAAGGTTTGGCTTCCCGCTCCCAAGAAAGGCGTTGAACCGAAAGTTGTGTTTTTTGGGACTTTTAAACCATTGAAATCACTTGTGTCAAATGAGAGTGATGTGCATGATCAGGTTGTCATCGCTAACCGTACCCTTTTTAACTGGGCGCTCATCGAAGGCGTTCAACCTGTGGTGTTCTCTGACAATCCTTTGGATCATGAGCTTATTGAACGAGTCAATTCAGATCTTGCGGCGAGGAGGGTTGGGCAACGTATTGATGTCATAAAAGACTTTGAGATTCATCAAAAGTTTGGGCTGCCCACATATAGGGGACTTTTTTCGCGCGTGCTTGCAGATTACCCGGATGTCCATTATTTTATATACTCCAACATGGACATTCTCTACACGCGTTCTGCACTGGAAACGATCAGGGCCGTGCAACGCTACTACTCTGCCATGGAGGGAAGTGAAAGAAAATTCAATGTAAAGGGCTGGTTTGCAGTTGGACGCCGCACCAATGTTGAGGTTCCGTTGCATTGGTCATTGGGCACAAATTGGGAAAAAGACGTGGAGGTGGTGTTTGGGGCAGCAGGAACATTGTTTCAATCCTTTTCGGAGGACTACTTTGCAATGAGTCGTAACACGTTTGATTGGAAAGGTATACCTGATTTCGTTGTGGGTGGAACAGCATTTGACAACTGGCTGACGACTCAGGCAGTTATGCTTGCCCGTGCAGGTCTGGCACTGACAGTTGAAGCGACCCTAACACTTATGGCGATTCACCAGAATCATGGAGAGAACTTAAAAGCAAGTCACATGCATCCCAAGTCACGCTACAATAATAAATTGGCACGGATATATGGTGGATGGGCACTTGGACATACAACAGATGCCCCTTTTCTGACAGTACGTCATTTTGGGGGCGAAGTTTTGGTGGTTGGCAAAAATTCCGTTTTGCTCCATTGAAGAGAAGCAATTATGTCTCTGGAGCTTGTTTTTGAATAATGCGTGCTGCTATAATTACGAGTTGGTCCTTATTATTGTTATTATTACTGGTGTTGTCGTTGACGAGCCGGTTTTTATGCGTACCGCACAGAGTTTATATGCATTTTGGTTTGATGTCGTTATTTCTTCTTTTTTGTTGTTGTTGTTTGTTTGTTTTGTTGCTTTTGTACATTACATCTTCTTTTTTGTTTGCTTGCTGCTGTTAACAGCGGTTTGAAACAGCAAGATGGGTCTCGAAATTTTGGAGATCGACGGGTCCACGCCCCACCCTGGCGTTGTGATTGACGGTTCTGTTGCGTGCCGGGAGACGAATGGTGGTTGGGTGACGCTGCGGTCCAAATCCCCCCTTTGTGGGAATCAGCGACAGTGGGCGATGAAGGTTATTGACCAGGGTGAAGGCACCGACGGTTCAGGGCTCATGATGGGCCTGCTTCCAAGTCTGAGTTTGCAGCAGGAGGCTTCCATGGGCAACAAATACATTTCTGAGCTGGGTGGATGGTGTCTTTCACGAGCTGGTGATTCGTATGGGTCTTGGAAATGCGATAAAATGCCGTTTTCTACTGGATGCGTTGTAGAATTTGATTGGGACGGTGTAAGTCGAACTCTCTACATGGTAAGCGGCAAGAGAAAGGCCATTGGTCATATACCAAACGTCTCAGAGACAGACGTTCTATTTCCTGCATTTTCCATGTATTATTTGAACCAGAAGTTGTCATTTGTGTGAAAGGATTGCGATGATGGGCATTCACAGCGTATTTTGTTTAATGTTCCGTGTATGAACCTGGAATGTTGACGCATGATGGAAATAACCAATAATGGCAGCATCAGAGAACATGTGGAACTTCTTATTTGGCCTCTGTCTGTCTGTCTGTGTGTGTATTTATGCGTGGTGGTGGTGCTTGGGTTCCATTGAAGTGGGACAAGAAAAAAAAAAGTAATGAGTTTTCGTCACTGTGTTTTGATCCGTGCTTGTGCCTAAGAAAAATGATTTATTCTTGCTTTCTTTCACTGCCTACTGATGCGTGTATTTACTTTTTTATACTTTACATTTTCGTTTTTACGTTGAAACGGTGGAGTTGCTGAGACGTCAATGCATGAATTTTTTGATTTGCCCTTTTTTTTGGTTTTTCCTTTTTTTTTTTCTTTTTTTTTGGTTTGTTGGATTTTAGTTTGCATGTCAATTACAGGCCCCACCAAGGTCAGGATCGGAGAAGCCACGGAGCGCAAATGTGAGGAAGATGTTGATGCATCTTTTCCAAAGGAGAATGAAACGTGGCGTGTCTGGACAATGCTCGTCATCGCGGGTGTAATGTCTTTTGGCGTGGTAATTGTGGGTGCCTTTGGTTTTTTCCCCATTTATTTTGTTAGTTTTTCTGCAGCGGAGCGTGCGACCCGCCTGGTTCACTTGCAATCTATCAACGTTGTCCGATCCGCAACGAAGAGCTCTGCCTTGCATCTACCAACGTTTATCAACACCATCTCGGCCAATTATGTAATCTCGGTGAAAAATAGAAGGAATTTTTTTCCCGAAGATAAGCAAAAACTTTTATTTGCGCTGGCGAATGTCATGTCGAAGAGGACATACCGCGATGCTGTTGGTCGCTTGTTGGTAGTGTCAGCCGGTCCGCCTGGGGAGGAATGGGGTGTCCTGGCAGTTTCATTTTCTGAAACCCGCCAGATTGGGGGTTGCGTAATGCATGGAATGAATTCATCAAACCTCTATGAGATTGACCCGGAGAGAGCCAACTTTACAGTTCCGCCCCACCCTCTTGGACCTAACGCTGTGAGTTTGGTGCGGACACTCTCCCAAAAGGATGGTCCTTACGAGTCCATCGTTCTGCCGTGGAATCAAAGCAAAATACAGGGCGTTCAGTGGAATAAATATTGGCTCACAGCGGGTATTGGCTACTCGTTCATGTATTTTAATTACGTTTTGCCGTTTATTACGGATAAGGGTTTAGGATTTTGGGAAATTGCGATGAGAACGTCAGTTTTTAATCATGGGGCTCTAGGGTTATTGACGAGAACTTTGCGCGACAATGGACGTTTTATGCTTTTTGATTCTACAATAGAATTTGTTGTTCTGAATAGCTGGGGTCAGCCGACAATCGAAAAGGAAACCAAGGGAACCTATTCTATAGCACGGGTTCTCCGGCTCGATTCTATCAGCGATCCATTGATGAAGGCAACGGTGAAGCGTATGCGCCAGCATGGTGACCCTGAGGCATTTCTGAAGGGAAGTGATCGGGGTGAGTTGTCGTTTATCTACAAGAATGATGAGGTTTATGCACGATTGTTAAGGCTGAAAGATGGTTCCGGTCTAAATGTCTTCATGCTCATCAGTACCCTTCATGCGGATTTTTTTCGTGCAATTTACCAGTCGAGTACACACGTGGGTCTTGCCACGGGAATTTCTGTAACGGTGGTTGCAATTTTTGCCGTGATAATCGCCTATTTTCTGGTGAGGCCTTTGCGAAGACTCGTGCCGGAGCTGAAGCGTGCATCACAACTTCAACTGCGTGGCCAGAATGACAAGAGTGATGTCTGGAAAAGGTCTAGGATTGCCGAAGTGCGAGACATTCAAAACGCCTACGCAGAACTGACTCGTCAACTCAGAATTGTGAAGACATTTGTTCCAAGTGCGATTCTCGCCGCACCAAGCACCAGCACCAGCAGCAACAGCTTTAACAGCAGGGACCAACTTTGTCATCGGAAAGTGCGGAGGCATCATCTGCATGCGACTTTTCCTCAGAGAGACGGCCCAATAGCCTCCCGAGCCGAATTGGAGGCAATGGAGGAAAATAATTTTGCCAAGCTGCGCCAAGAGATGCGACTTAATAGCAGGGTTTTCAAGGAGCAGACGAATAAATTTGTTCGACGATACTGCACCGTTGTGCTCATTGAGAATGCCCGACCATTCTCGCTCGACGCGTATTTTCATAACATCCTCACCTGTGCCGCCGAACAAAACGGGTGTGTGGAGTACTCGCGCCCAGACAGGACACTCGTGAGTTTCGGTGCCCACTCGCCGCTTCCCATGCATTCCATAAAGGGGTGCCGTTTTGCGCTCGAGCTCTTTGCCAAACTCGCACCTCAGGAGAGAGAAGCGATTACCCTTTTTATAGATACGAACGAATTTCATGTAGGAACGTGTGGCGCACACTCAAAGAATGCGCGAGTGGTGGTCGGAGTCATGAACTTGCGCGAGTTGGCGAAGGTTGCGAATCGATTAGGGTGCCGTATTGCAGTAACAGCTGGGACATCATCACAGCTACAGGGACACCAAGTATATCCCATTGAGTGTGTTATGCCATCATCTTCGACCGAGTCCGTCGTGCTCTCCGAGCTCCGACCACAAACGGCGCTTCGACAGACAATGGTAGGTACGGCGAAACATTTTCGACTTGGATTTTCAGCGATGCGTCAAGGAAACTACAAGCAGGCGATATCGCACTTCCAGCGCGTGGAAAAGTCGGATCCTCAGGCACAGCGCCTCATTCGGTTATGTGCACAGCGCCGCGCTCAAAACGACAACAAGAGTTACGTGCGATTGGCAATCGAAATCCTACAGGAAAAACTGCCTGCTGTGAATGTCACTGCAGCAGATGATGCGGTAGTCATGAATTCTGTAGGTTGTTCTCAAGATGCATGTGGAAAAATAGGATTAAATAAGAGCGAAGTTTTTTCTATACAATCGAAAGCTTCACCTAAAAGAAACGGCTGTGAAAGTGAAGGTGGGGCCCTTTTTGAGATGATAAATTTTTCTAATTCATCCTCCTCCGAGTCTTTTCAGGCACTTGAGGATGGTTGTAACAGCGCGGACGATTTGCCCCTTCTTCTAACGGATATGAATCATCGAGTATGGACTAGATCCCTAAAAAAAATTAGTGAGGGTGCATTCAGCGCGGTGTTTCTTGGAATGTCGGAGGATGGTGGACAGGTGGCCATCAAGTGTATCCCACGGCGGCGTCGCGACATTATGCAGGAATCCCTGGAGGCGGAAATGAATGTCGCCTCGAAGCTCCGCCACCCGAACATTGTTCAATACGTATCATGTAGTGTGGTTCAGTCTCATCTTGCCATTATTATGGAGTACGTGCCTGGGGGCTCGTTGCATGCCGTGATCAAGAACTTTGGGCGTATGAGTTCCTTAGTGGCACGGCGGTTCACAGTAGATATTCTGAATGGCCTCAGCTATTTGCACGGCCTTGGTATTGTGCACTGTGATGTGAAGCCGCACAACATGCTTTTGGGGATGGATGGCGTATGCAAGCTGTCGGACTTTGGGTCGACCATTTCTGAGGCAGCGGACATGGCGCGGACAATGGCGGATGAGGTGATGCTGCGTGGCACGGCGCTCTACATGGCTCCCGAGGTGGCGGCTGGTGGTCGTTGCACATCCCAGTCGGACATTTTTTCGCTGGGGATATCGCTGCTGGAGATGCTGCTTGGGCGTCTTCCGTGGAAGTGGAGCAGCAAGGCTCCAGAGGGTAGCGATGCGACGTCACTGCAGGCTCTTTTTAACCGCGACCTCCTCTTTGTGCAGAGTCTTGCCCGTGATTACCTGGAGCCGGAGATTCCCGATTTCCTTGATTTTGAGGTAGCGCATTTCGTTCGTTCCTGCTGTCACCCCAACCCTGCCATGAGACCGTCTGCATCTGCTCTTCTCTCATATTCCTTTGTTCTGTGATGGAGAAGTTGTAGGGTCTTTTTATGTGTGTATTACTTTTATTGTCTTTTTTTTTATTGGACTTCTTTTCGTGGCGCAATGTATTTTTGTCTTCCAATGAAAAAAAAAAAAAAAAAAAAAAAAAAAGAGATTTTTTTTTTTTGCTCTGTTTTGTTGGAGCGTTTCCGCTAACGTTAGTATTGAGTGAAAGCTGCCGCGTGCTGTAGTTTGTGTGTTGATGAGATGCTTCTTCTTTTTTTTTTTTGTGTGTGTGTGTGTGTGTTTTTGCTGTTTTTTCTGTTTCCTTGCTTTACTCTGCTTTTCAGTACGTATTGCGTTGCTCGATATAGCAGTTTGCATGTAGCATTGTGACGAGGATTTTTGGCGCTGTTTGTTGACTTTGCCGTTTGCCATGTCATTGCGTGTCCGTGTGTTGTTGTGATTTTCTTTTTGCCTGCTCGTTTGGCATTTCTTATACTTTCATATAAAAATTTATAAATTTGTGTGCGTGTCTGTGTCTTTTTTTTTTTTTTTTTTTTTTTTTTTGTTTTATATGCGTCGTATGTATGTATGTATATATTTGTGTTATGTATAATTATTTCTGATGCGGGGCGTAGAAGAAGTGGCAACTTCGTATGAAGGATGTTGAAGGAAGGGAATTTGCTGAGGCCCTGCAATCTGGGAACACACTTCTTGTTGAAGGCCACAGTGGCCACCGGCTGCGTTTATATTATGATTCCTTGTCGTCTGTGGCTGCAAAGGCTGGTAGTGGTGGTGAACGCGCTCCCGTGCCTCTGCTCATCTCGTCGTTGAAATGTCTGTCTAATTATTTGCGAAAATTGGATTTTTCACGACGGTATGTTTTTTTTGTGAACAGAGATCTATGCGTTCCTTGCGAAGTGAGGCACGTGCTCTGCCAACACTATGGTGCGGCGGCCAGGCTTCAAACACTGTCGCTACGTCAACTTCATCACAGCTGCGGGGAGACACTAAAATTACTTGAGGCGTTGGAGCAAAAGTGTGTGGCAAAGTTGGCAGCGGTGAATTTCCGCTACAGCCTTGCGGATGTTAGCCGCCATCCACTTATCATTCCAGAGGAATACGGAATGTCAGGGTTTGCGTCGCGTTCACAAAACTCGACAGACGCCACGTTGAGCACTGGGTTGGTGGATGTGCACTCCTATTGCTCAAAATGGATGCCAGATTTAGATAAAAACTTATGGACAGACACGTTTGTCTTTGAGCGTACATGGCCTTCAGATCCGTGCGGTGATTTTCTTCCAATTTTTCGTGGTGTCGTCGAGGCTCTTATAAATAGGGAGGTTGTTCTCATAGACGTGAGTGACCCTCGAGAAAGTGTGGAGCGTGTAGCCCTTTGTGTGGCTCTCTCTTCACGAGAGAAACACCGTGCTAAGGAATTTGTGGAGCGAATTGTCACAGGCTCAAGGGGCATGGGATGGGCTCTTGTTGCCCAGATTGCAACACCATCTTCATTTGATATGCCTCAGCGCAGGATTTATTTGTGGTGTGGTGCGCGTGTTGTTTTTAAGGACGGACGCATGGGGACCGTCAAGGGCTTTGATAAAACTTCATTGTGTCGCAGTGGGAAGGCGGAGTGGCCTTTTGTCATGCTTGACGGTGGGAGTGCCAGTACTGTTGTTTTACCCTCTATTACTTTTCTTCAGAGACCTTTGAATTTGCGTGTGTCTGAACTGCCACTCCGTTATGGCGACACCATGACGGTGGAGGAGCTTTTTTTGACCCCCCGCGTTTCACTTGGGAAACGTTTTTTTGTTCTTCGACCCAGTCTTTTTGTTGGTCGTCTTTCACATCTTCGATGCGCATTTGCGTCGCTGCCATCCCTTTCATGTTTGGCTTTGACCGGTCCATTACCGTGGAAACTACTGGTGACCGCTGAAAACTCGTAAAAAGTCCATAGGACAAGGTGTGCGGCCAGTGCTGCATCAGTTTTCTTTGATTGTGGGCGAATGCATATATATATATATATATATATATATATATTCTGACTTTGTTGTTTGTGGTTTCTTTCTGTTCTTCTTGACAACTGCAGCTCTTGTGAACTTACAGACGGGTGTGAAGGGTCGATAATGACCTGATTTTACTATTATTATTTTTATTTTTATATTTTTTCGAAGGGGAGGGGTCTGCTTGTGATTCTTTTATGGTTGTTTGGAGTTGCGTTTATTTATTTATTATTAAAAATTTTTATTTTCTAATGACCGATGCTTTGGTGTGCGTCTTTTTTTTTCACGCTCTCTACCGCCTCTCTCCCCTCGTCGCTCTCGGTTGTTTTTAGGGTACTCTCTCACAGGTGTCGGGAATGGAAGAGAAGACGAGCGAAAAACCACCGGAGGCGGCGGAGGTGGTCCAAATGGCCGCGTCAAAGGCGTCGGAGTCAAGACATTCTGCCGAGTACTCGATGCAGAATCCACTCGGGAGTATTTTTGGGAAAAGCGCCCCCATTCATCCCATGCCGTCTTTTTCGTTGTATAATGGGGGCCACGGGCTTGAAGAGCCGGAGGGAGAGGAGGCAGGGAATGCGACCGAGGACTCCGTTGAGACGGATTATGAGGGGAAGAAGGGTGGTTTTGTCATTAGCACCGTCCTCGCTGTGGCGCTTGTCATTTCTTTTGGTGTGATAGCAGTAGGTTTAATTGGTTTTTTGCCCGGTCACATGATCGGCTTTCGTGCCGTCTCTGGCACTGCGGAACTTATACAAGTGGAGGCTGTGAGGGGCGTTATTATTATTATGCGGTCGACAATATTGCAGCTTCCAGATTTTGCCCACACTATCACAGCGAATTATATGCGCAACCAAACTTCCGCATACACAGTGAACGCGTTTCCGAAGACCTCGCAGTCGTTGTTATATTCATTATTGAGCGTTCTTTCAACTTTCAAAGATACAATTTCTTTTTTTAATTTTATGGATAGACGGGGTCTTTACGGTTTTGCATCCGAGTTTTTGTGGCCTAATGAATCCGGTTCAATGTTGCTTCTTGGGGCTCATAATTCGACTACGGGCATTTCTCCTGTAATGACATATAATGCTACAATACTGGATGTTGTTTCACCTGACCCATTGGCATACTGGAACATCTCTCAGGAACTGTCACAAGAACAAGGCCAATTTGAACTCATTGTGGACCCCTGGGTGAAAAACAAAAGCATCACGCAACGCTGGTTTCCATATGCTTTGAATCGTACTGGGCTATACTTTGATTTTATCATCCCGTTTGAGATTGATGGTTTTGCTGGCTGCTGCGAGGTGGGCATGCCGACGCATCGACTTTTGCGAGAGTCGAGACCACTCATCGCGGCTTTGCGAAAGCATGGGCGTGTGATGCTTTTTGATGACAAGCGAGATATTGTTATACTAACGAGTTGGGGGGAGAATTCGACGTGGTGGTCTGGAGACAGTTATTTGTCTTTTGGTTATCTCACGCTGGACGGCATCAAGGACCCTCTCGCCGCTGCGGTTGCGCGTCAAGTGAAAAGTAATAGAAAACAAATGAGTGATGTTGTCAATGGTACGGCTGAACTTGTGTTTCCATTTGAAAACAGCGCAGTGAGGGCAAGTTTTGCGCGTGTCACTGACAAAAATGGGTTAAATGTTATGTTATCTGTGGCTGTTCTGCGATCCGATTTCTTTTCAGGGATTGTACAGGCACGCACCATCATTATTGTCGTGGTCGTTGCGGTCGTTACAATGTCGGCGATCACTGCTTTTGTAGGGGCTTGCTATCTGGTGAAGCCGTTAACACATCTCGTGAACGCACTTAAAAAGGCCTCAAACTTGGAGCTTCCAGGCAGTGATAGTAAGGTGATGAAACCCTCAAGAATCTTAGAGGTGGGGGAGATACAGGCAGATTATGTAAAACTTTTTCGTCAGCTGCTGATGCTTCGAAAGTTTGTGCCGGAGGCCATTCTTGCTCGCATTAATTTGGGCGATATGTCAACCCTTACCGCCTCTGTAGACGTAAATGAGAACGCTGACGATCGTGACAGTTCATTTTCTTCCAATACGAGCCGTTCACAGGTTGTTGGAAACGAAATTGGGGTGAAGCGTGACGTCAGACTTAACAGCGACGTTTTTAGGGAGCAACTCAACTTGTTTTCGCCCAGACACTGTACGGTGGTGGCTGTTGAATTTCACGCATCGCAACTTTGGGACGACTCCAAGAAGTACATGACTCTTTTCATCGCCACGGCCACCGAGCTCTCTGGCTGTGTGGAGGTACTTGGGCCCGATAAAATTGTTGTAAGCTTTGGCGCACACACAACTATTCCCTTGCACTCTATCGAAGGATGCCGCTTTGCGTTTGAGTTTTTGTCTAAGCTTTCTCCTTATGAACAGGGAGCCGTGACGATAGTTGTGGAGTGCAACGAGTTTCTTGTTGGGACGTGCGGGGCGCATTTGCGCAATGCGCGTGTTTTGTTAGGCACAGATTACCTTTTTGACCTGACGAGAGCCATGAGTGGAGCCCCCTACCACATTGCAGCTACCTCCGGTGTGGCTTCACAAATTCAGGGATACCAGGCATTTCCTGTGGATTGTGTTCTCATCCCTTCCACCTCACTACCAGTCGTGCTCTATGAACTGCGCCTACTCACGACGGGCGAGGAGCACACACAAAACGTTACTAAGCTATTTAGACTTGGATTTTCAGCGATGCGTCAAGGAAACTACAAGCAGGCGATATCGCACTTCCAGCGCGTGGAAAAGTCGGATCCTCAGGCACAGCGCCTCATTCGGTTATGTGCACAGCGCCGTTTGGCGAAGGACACAACTCCCTATGTACGCTGTGTGAATAATTCATACGATATCGCCAATAACACTTTTCAGTATTCGAGTGGGGAAATTTGGAATGAAGTACCAGAGAAAAGGGAATTAATCAATAAAACACCCGTAAGCCTTAAAAGGGAAAACAGTAACCTCTCAAGGGAAGAGAGTATGGCTTTGTTTGAGTTGTGTCAATCATCTTCATCCTCCTCCGAGTCTTTTCAGGCACTTGAGGATGGTTGTAACAGCGCGGACGATTTGCCCCTTCTTCTAACGGATATGAATCATCGAGTATGGACTAGATCCCTAAAAAAAATTAGTGAGGGTGCATTCAGCGCGGTGTTTCTTGGAATGTCGGAGGATGGTGGACAGGTGGCCATCAAGTGTATCCCACGGCGGCGTCGCGACATTATGCAGGAATCCCTGGAGGCGGAAATGAATGTCGCCTCGAAGCTCCGCCACCCGAACATTGTTCAATACGTATCATGTAGTGTGGTTCAGTCTCATCTTGCCATTATTATGGAGTACGTGCCTGGGGGCTCGTTGCATGCCGTGATAAAGAACTTTGGGCGTATGAGTTCCTTAGTGGCACGGCGGTTCACAGTAGATATTCTGAATGGCCTCAGCTATTTGCACGGCCTTGGTATTGTGCACTGTGATGTGAAGCCGCACAACATGCTTTTAGGGATGGATGGCGTATGCAAGCTGTCGGACTTTGGGTCGACCATTTCTGAGGCAGCGGACATGGCGCGGACAATGGCGGATGAGGTGATGCTGCGTGGCACGGCGCTCTACATGGCTCCCGAGGTGGCGGCTGGTGGTCGTTGCACATCCCAGTCGGACATTTTTTCGCTGGGGATATCGCTGCTGGAGATGCTGCTTGGGCGTCTTCCGTGGAAGTGGAGCAGCAAGGCTCCAGAGGGTAGCGATGCGACGTCACTGCAGGCTCTTTTTAACCGCGACCTCCTCTTTGTGCAGAGTCTTGCCCGTGATTACCTGGAGCCGGAGATCCCCGATTTTCTTGATTTTGAGGTAGCGCATTTCGTTCGTTCCTGCTGTCACCCCAACCCTGCCATGAGACCGTCTGCATCTGCTCTTCTCTCATATTCCTTTGTTCTGTGATGGAGAAATTGGAGTTCTAATTGCCCGATTGTAGTATGTGTTATTAGTTAATTGTTATGTATGTGTACGTATATTTTTATGTATCGACTTTGCTCGTGCTGTAGGTTGTATATAAATATAAATAAATAAATGTATATATATATATATATATACTTATTTATTTATTACATATATATAATATATGTTGCGTTCTACTGTTTGACGGTAAATTTTTATTACGTTTTGTTTTTGTTTTTGTATCCCTTTTTCTTCGTTATACGTCTTTTTTTTTTTTTTTTTTTGGTTGTTGTTTTCTTTGAGCAGTCCTTTTTTTTTCTTTTTGTGTGTGTGTTTGTGTTTGTGTTTCATTTTGTGTATTGGTGCTGTGTATGATGGGGCGGCAAGGAGTACAATAATTTCTTTGTGACTTCCCGCTGGGATTTTTTTTTTATGAGTTGTGTCGCAGTTTGCTGCCATTGCAGGGCAATCAGAAACGGTTGCGTCTTTTTGTTGCGTCCTCTCTACCGACGAAGTCAGCGCTCTCGGCGTTGCTCCCCGTGTCTCCTGCAGTGATGGCCCTGAGCAGCTGCGGGGAGGTTGGCGGGTGGTGGTGAGGCACCGATTGGGTGCTCTGCTGCTGATTGAAGTCATGCATATTTTTTCTTTCTTTCTTTCCTTCTTTTTTTTCTTTCTTTTTTTGTTTGTGCTTCCTTTTCCTCTTTAGCAGCTATTGTTTGCGGAGCGAGTGACGGAGTCGTGGTAGGACGTGTCCCACCTCCCACCCACCCTTCCCCGAACCGCCAATTTTGTGTGAGGGAATTTAGAGGAGACGAAAGTCTTTTTTTTTTTCTTTCTATTTTTTCTTTTTGTGTACGTGGGCGTGTGTTGATTTTTTTGTACCATTACTCCTTCGCAAACATTTGTAGCGGTGTTCTTTAGAGATTTATTATTCAAGTGTTTTTGGCTCTCCTTAGGCTAAAAGACGAAATAATAATAATGAGTCGTGCGCGTGCGCACGATACTCAAGTGCATGTCTCATCCGAGATGAAGCAACTCCTACGGCGTCAAAAAATACATGAATTAGCACAACTTGCAGCTATGGTGCTTCAGGAGCGTTGCAGTCAACAACGCCACTTGGAGTATGTGTGTAATACAAGTTTTAGCAGCAGCCAGATTCCGCAGATATCTGTGTTTGACTATATTCGCCGTATTGCCAAGTACTCCTACTGCTCACCAGAGTGCTTCGTGCTGAGTATTATTTACATTGATCGGTACTTATTCGCGACGAAATTCCCACTGACGTTTCGTAATGTTCATCGACTGATGATAACTGCGGTGATAGTGAGCGCAAAGCTTAGGGATGACACCCACTACAGTAACACGTACTATGCGAGCCTTGGTGGCATCAGTACCGCGGAGTTGAACGGGCTGGAACTTGAATTTTTAAAGACAATTGATTGGATGACTTGGGTGGAGCCGAGTCAGTTTGAGGAATACCGTGCAGGGTTGCAAACGCGATATTTGGAATGCCAGCTTTTCTCCGTGTCGGTTGAGAACTCGGAGTATGGCACTAGTAGCACGGGTGGAGAGCGGGACACCCCACAGTGATGAAGGGTGTTCCCCTCTCTTTTTTTCACTTTTTATTTATTTATTTTTGTTCGTTTTTTACTACATGCGCTTTTTATGTCATGTTACTACAACTTTTCATGCATTCGCTCGGGCCCGTGCAGGGGGTCTTCAAACGCCGCATCAATTAAAGCCCAGAGGATAATATGTCCCTGTGTGTATTCTGAACGGAACGGATGTGCGTATGTGTTTATGGGAGCTTGTACTTTTAAGTCTGGTAAACGAGGTGATAGGAAGCTTGTTTGGTATTTGTGTCTGTGTGTTTCCCTTTTTTGTTGTTTTTTCTTTTGCTGCATGGATATCACCAAAATGTGCACGATTCTTTGTGGTCATACGTCCATTACGGTGTTCTCTAATGGTTGACTGTTCAAAACTCTGCGGAGTCTAGAATGATTGTTGGGTTGCTCTTTTTGGGCCTGTGGCTCCGTAGTTTGTTTTGATGTATGCGTTTCTGTGTCTTAAGACCCGTCGGTTATTGCGCGGCTTCTGTTTACCACTCTGTTTCCGAATTAAACCTGAATCGCTCTTTGTACACATTGCTCGTGAGTGAGCGGGATGACGCCATTTTTCCATTTATTTGTCTCGCGTTCACCCTCCAATGCGTGCGGTGTCTTTCTGCATTGTCACCGGTTTTTTGTTGCTTGGCTTTTTTTTTTCTGTTGTTGCTCCACTTTTCCCCTATTTTATTTTTTCTCGCCTCCGTTTACAGAAGTTATTTCATTTTCGAAGCACAAAAACCCTTCTTTTTCTTTTTCTTTTTCTTTTGACTTCCCACAAGTCAAACGATGCAGATTGGGTACGGAATACGTGGGGGACGTGGTGGCGGACGCGGACGCGGAGGAAACTTTGACTACAGGGGAAGGGCACAGCAGCCATTTATGGGAACCAACGTTGCGACTGATACCCTGTGTGTCCGCATAACGGACATCCGTCAGCCCGTCACGGAGGACATGATGTATCGTGTCTTCGGCAGCATCTCTACCAATCCTCAGCGCCTACAGATCGCCCCCTCCTCGAACCCAAACGAAACTGTCGTCATGGCGCAGTTCTCCGACATGTACGCTACTCAACGTGTGATGGAAAATTTGAACAATCGTAATATATTTAACGACGGAAATAAAATGGTGATGACTTACGCCACGTGGGAGCCCGCACCTGTATTGCCTGCGCCCCCAACAGCTGTGTACGGCGCTCCCGCTGCGGCATACGGCGGTGTGCAGCCGCAGCAGCAGCAGCAGCCCAATATCATGTACCAGCAAGTTCAGCCGCAGCCAAGTGTTTACGTCCAACCGCGCTCACAACCGGCACAACAGATGCCACATGTTCCACAACCACAACTGCCACAGCCAAGGGCAGGATTTGATCAGCCACGCGGAGGACGTGGACGTGGGCGTGGTGGGCCTGGAGGTCAGAGGGGTGGCGGAGCAGCCGTGGGATTTGACCCGATGATGGTGGGATACCCGCCCATGGCTTACCCAATGGTGCCGCCCATGATGCCCATGGCAGGTAACATGATGACAAACTACATGAATCCAAAGTCCATGCAAAACACTCCTACCGTGTTTCTAAGTGTGACTGTTGTGCCCGAGACGGAACCATTGCAGACAATTTTTACTCTACTTGAGACTTTTGGGGGTGTTGTTACTATACGCCGCAACCACAACAAAAAAGATATTCTGACGGTGAAGATGGCTTCAATCCCGGAGGCCGATAATGTTGTGCAACACGTACGAAAGGTGCCCTTTGCTGGGGGGACAGTGAGCGCAAAACGTTTTCCTACTTATAATGAGCGGACACCATGCACTGACGACGGAGATCCGTTGGATTCTGCGACCTCGCAGTATGACTTTACAACAGCACGCCACCGCAGTCCTGGGCAGCGTAGTAAGTGTAATCCTTCGAATGTGCTGAAGGTCACAGGGTGTGCGGGATACTCTGAAGCAGATGTGATGACATACTTTACGAGTGAGAACTTCTTCCCGGACCGCATCATCAAGGACGAAGAAGGGGCGTTTACTGTTTACATGGCTGATACCGCCACAGCTGTGACACTTCTTGTCAAGTGCCACAACAGCGTGTGTGGAGAGGAGCGGTCAAATGTTCTCTTTATTGAGGGACCAAAAGAAAACAACGAGAACCATACTGAGCAAAACTTAGATGAAGGCGCCGCAAAGAGTTGAGCCGAATTGAGCACGTAAATGTACTTGTTTAAACACATGTAACTGGGCAATTATTCTGGCTTCGCCTCTTGTTCTCTCCCTCCCAGAACTGGGATGCGCATGCGTGTATTCACATTCACAATGTCTCATGTGAGGGAAAGCCTTAAATCCAGCCAAACGTAGGGAGAATATAACTAACCATGACAATAAGAAGAAAAAAAGAAAAGGAATTCAAAAAGAGTAACTGATGGTGGCCAAGAAAGACGAGAGTTGGGGAGCAAAGAAAACTGAACCGATAAAAAAATTTAAAAAAAAGAAAAAAGAAATGTGACACAAAAGAGCGAGAAGGCAAAAGTCTTATAGAATGTTATGAGGAGGAGGAGGAGGAGTCAACAGGACACGAAAGTAAATAATAAATAAAAAGCTGTTGGCAATAAGGAATGTATGTTTGTGTTGAATGACCGGTTTCTATTATTATTATTATTATTTCATTTTTTTATTTATTTCGCCGGGGACCACTTCTCCCTTGCTCTCTGTTTGTACTATCTGTGAGGATCTTCCTTCTGTCTTCTTTTTGAGTTTTTTTTCTCCCTCTTTTTTTTTTTTTTTTTTTTTTTGCTCTGTTCGTATCTATTCATGTTTTCTTTACTGTCCTTTGCCCCATTTACATTTTTATTTTTTTGTTCATTTCTTTTTTTTTTTTTCTTTGGCTTTATTGTTATTATTATTTTTTTTTTTCTACCCCTTATGCTGTTGGGGGGCTTCTTTGCCGTTCTCTTGTTGGGATGGCCGCTTCTGCCCCCAATTCGCTTATTCTCGTGATTTGAATTTCCATTTGTCGTGATTGTCATTAGGTGCCCTGCGACACCATTTTCATTTCATCATTTGGTTTCTCACCCCGCCAGGAGTCATTCCTGCAGCGAGGGGAGAAGGGAGTGGCTGACAGAAGCCGAATAACGTTTCATTGCATTGGAAGGGCGGAAGCTGCGACATTGCGCAAAGGACGAGTGTCTGGTCTACTTGTATCTATGTTGTCTGTTTACACACCGCAACACACGTTTACAGTACATTTTACATTCACATAGAAATAAGTGCATGTAACGTTTATATTTGAGGTAAAGAATTACCCCTCGTCTTTGTGTAGTTTTGTTTTTTTGTTTGTATTTTGTTTCATAGCGCTGGACGTCGTTATATGGTTATGAATGCAGCGGCATTTTGTTATTTCTTGTGGCGTTTGTATGATTTCTGCAAGTGAAACTTCAGTGGTCAATTACAATCAATCAATCAGTCAATCAATGTATTTATGTATGTATGTGTGTATATCTGTACACTGCGTTTGTTTGTGTGAAAATGTCTTTATTCGTGCGTCTTGAGAGCTACAATGGAGTGAAACTGATTGTCTTCGTTTGAACGTAAATCGGGAGCTACGCCAACTTGTTTGTTTGCGTGGTTATCTCAACCGCGGGTTTTTTTTTTTTTTTTTTTTTTCTTATGCGTCATTGGCTACTTTCTTTCTGTGTTATCGTTGTTTTTATTCACGTTTATGTTGTGTGTTTTGCATTTGTTCCCGTAGGCGGCTGTTGTTTTCTCTTTAAGCCCTCGGGCTCCGGCGAGTTCGCGGTGTTTAACACGTTTTATGTTACCCCTTTATTTTTCTTTGATTTTTGTTTTTTCTCGTTTTTTTCTCGGTCCTTGCACTTAAATGCGTTTGGGGACGTCTTCGGTGAGAAATGGTCTACGGCCCATGGCGATGCCACGTGGCGTTCTAGCCGCGTGACGCAATATTGTCCAGGTATACATGTCCACATGTGTATGTTGTTACTGTTGTTACTTATCATCTTTACTAGGAACAATCGACGGCACTGGCATGGATGGCGATATGGTGATGTTTCTTTATTTTTCCCCCCCTCCTCACCTCTTCTACGGTGTCATTTCTATCCTGTCTTTCTTTTCTTTTTTTTCTTTTTTCTTTTTTTTTTCTTTTTCCCATCTTTTACACCTTTCTTCTACGTATGAGTAGGCTTCTGCGCATATTTGTGCATGTTATGCATGAATTGAGCAGCGCTTTTTTTTTTTTTTTTTTTGGTTGGTTGATTAGCGTCAACGACTGAAGAAAAGGAAGGGATGAAGTCTTTTTTAGCGTTCATTTGTCTTTTCCTTTTCTTGCTGTTGCCCCCTTTAATTTCTCCCTTTATTGAAGAGTCCCAAAATATTAAAATACGTGTATTTGTTTATACATATGCATGTATGTATACTTATGCTTTATCTTTGCAGTAGAGGAGGGCGTTGCCTTTTTTTGGGCTGCGGCACGCGACTGCAATGACGTCGTTTTTTTTTTTTTTTTACCCCCTGTCCATTTCTGCCCTCTCCTTTTAACCGTTTGTGTACACATGTGTGTGCGTGTGCCTTTCACAGGGAGGAGGGACAACTCCTCGGTGGCTTTTCACCGTTTCTGCGGCAGACAAAAAATGACGCGCGTTGGAGACGTCCGTTATGATCACCGTTCTCCCGTTGATGAAAAAAAAAAATTTTTGTGTTTTTGTTGTTTCCCTTTCTTTCTTTTTTTCCCCCTTTGACTCCACACCGTGGCTGTTGTCACGTCTCACCTCGCCCTCTTCGCTGCGTGTTGTCGGTGTTCCAGCGACGCTCCTACAAGCAAGCAAGCAAAAAAAAAAAAAAAAGTAGACCCGCGAGAAGAGACCGACACAACGAGGGGAAGCGAAGAGGGGTGACGTGAGTGGCGGAGAAGAAAATAAGTCAGAGCGGATCCACAAATTAGCAAACAAAGAAATTAGAGGTAAATTGAAGAGAAGAGGAATTTTTTTCTTACAAAAAAAAAAAAAAGCAGAAAAGAGAAGAAAGAGGAGTGGAAGAAAAAACCGGATTGCGCTCCTGCAGTGGAAATTAGCGGGCCCATCGTGCGCTGCAGTACAACCGAGAGTCTGCCCCGTAGCCGGTAACAGCAACAGCAACAATACAAACCGCGGCAACGGGGAAGGAAGAGGAGGGCGCGTGTCTGTGAAATAATAAATAAATAAATAAATTACAAAACAACGCAAAAAAGCAAAAAAAAAAAAAAGTACGGCAAAACGGCTGAGAAGAAACGAGGGAGTGAATTCAGCTGAATTGGAGGCCCACACAGTTTCTCACGCAAATATATATATATATATATCTACAAAACTTTTCCACCGCCGTTTATTTGGGACGTCAAATTGTGTGCAAAGAGACGGGAGGAAAGGGATAAGCATTACTAAGAGACGGGGAGTGGATTTTGTCTGACGGAGGACGAAAGGAAAGGGAGAAAGAGGGTGGCGTACTGAGGGGAGGGGGGAAAGAAGAGACAAACATATATATATATATATATAATACACATATCTACGAGTTTATTAAACAATTACAGGGATACTGAGAAACAGGAGTCAAGATGATGTCCGTGGTCTTGCGAAACATACCTCCTCAATGCCAGGAAGATGATCTTCGTCGCGCATTGCTCATCTATGGCACCGCAGTAAGCACAGCCATTGCTCCTCATATGCGTCAGGCAACTGTAACCATGCGGAACTCGCAAGAGGTCCGTTCTCTCCTTCATCAAGGATGCATCAATCTTTTTGGGCAAACTGTGACGGTGGAACCAGCGCCCTATGGCAGCAATGGTGGCGCACCAGCGATGCTGCCTCCTCACCTTGGCACAACGCGGATTAACGTTATTGTGGAAAAGTGCACATATCCTGTGACGAAGGAAATATTGACACAGGTGTTTGGTATGGTGGCACCACCTCTCAATGTTGTCTGTGGTCCTTCAGGACCCACAACAACAGGCTGGGTGGATTACGCCGATGCTACTACAGCCCGTCGAGTGATACAGCAACTGAATAAAAATTCCATCTATCCTGAATGCTGTTTTATGTCTTTAACGCTTGACCGCTCGGGCGTTGGTGCCCCTGCGATGGGAGGATATGCCAATTCACCAATGCCATATCCACAACAACAAGCCGCACAGCAACCGCCACTTCAGCAGCAGCAGCCGATGCCATTTGGTCATGCAAACTACGGGGCTATGCCTGGTTCTGTAATTCCGAGGGGTGGTATGGGCGGACGTGGACGTGGGCGTGGTGGTTTAATGGGACGATACGGTCCCACATATGCTGCCAATGGACCCATGGCACATCCTCCATATGCCGCTTCCTCCACCCCGTATGCCCAGCCTCCCAATGATGCTGTAGTCATTGTAAGCAACATGCCAGAGACGGTACCCCTTCATGATTTGTGGGTTCTTCTTGAAGTATACGGTAATGTGAACTCACTCAAAAGACAGTTCAGCTCAAAGAGTAATGTCGTTGCACATTTTCAGAATGTCTACGACGCTCGTCTTGCTGTTCAGTATCTTCAAGGATGTCCATTTCATGGTGCCACGCTCTTACTCAAGCATTTTGCTGGGTACGTGGAGCGCGGTGGCAGGACCGAGTGGAACAGTGGCCCAGCAACAGATCCTGCCACACATGCCGTGCTTTTTTCAAGTGGATATCATCACCGAACGAAACCTACAGCAGCTTTTAACCCTACAGGACGCGTTCGCCCAGGAAAAAATCTTTTTATTTCCAATCTCACTGAAGCCATCACGGATGAGGATATCAAAGAAGAGTTCACCAAGGCTGGGTTTGAACTGGATGGGTATTACCGCAAGAATCCCTCCGTTGCTATTGTTAGCTTGAGGGATATAGAGACGGCGGTACAGGCCCTTATTGTGGTACATTCCCAGCAACTGAAGGAGCGCTTCCTACGTGTGACATTTTCTCACTTCCCACCGGGTCCACGCAGCAACGGTGAAGAAGAAAACGAAACCCCTGCAGCTGAGGCGAAAGAAACTTTGGCGGAGAAACCAACTGAAGAGGAGTGACGTGTTCTTTTTCAATTGTTTCTGCAGAAATTGCAGCGTTATTAATAAATAAAGTAATACGCTGCTTAAGCTAGGCTATATATATATATATATATATATATTATTATTATTATTATTATTATTTTTTGGCTTTGTTCGCTCGCTGAAATCTGGGTAAGGGATGTGCCTGACTAAAATCGTTAATTGTGCGGCACACAATGGGTTGAGGCGGTTTGTGATCATTTGCTTTCTCATTTCTTTTTCTTATTTTATTATTATTATTATTATTATTATTTATTTATTTATTTATTTATTTGTCTTGATGTTAACATTCCTGTTTCTTAACGCACATATATTTGTTTTTCCCTTCTTTTTTTTTGCCTTTTATAATTCTTGAAACACTTTATTGTTGTTGTTGTTTTCTTAAGAGGCAAAGGAGTTGGGGCGTGTCTCTTTGTTTGTGTCTGTTCCTGGTGACGGCTGCGGTGCATGGATCTTTGGCAGCCGTCACTTCCAGGTGCAGGCGCTCAGCGCGCTGTTTTGATTTTGCAGTTATACATGCGGATGGGGAACTACAGTCCGCTCACAATTCTGATTGCAGATGCTCTCTGCCTAACGTTCAAGGCCAGTGGGGCAACTTTAAGTGAGCTTGCCGCGTATTTAGGAATCCCGCCGGACCGTGTGGAGATTGGCATCGAAGGGATGCCCAAGGAAGTGTACTGCACCTCCTCGGATATCCGTCAGGATGACATAGATGAAGAGTACGGAGAAAAAGTGAACAGCCGAAAAAGAAACCGTCAAGAAGTTGCTGAAGAGAGCACACTTCGTTACTATATCAACTATGCCACGTTTTTGCCTTTTGCGTTTGCCCACGGCAGCCATATATTGTTGGCGCTCTGCCAGTTACCTATTCCAGAGCATCTAGCCAATGCCGGCATAAGAGGGGAGGGCATTTCTCTGAACGTGTCAGCAACACTTCGGCGAGCAGATTCTCGACGAGGACTCTGCTGCGTCTCTTGCCGCTACTGGATGGCATTGAAGGACCTGCGGGCTACCGTTTCACGTTGCCCTCTTTGTGAGACAGATATACTGGGCGGTATGCTACGTGCCATATATGCCCGCTATGAAGAGAAGCTGGCAAGTGGTCAATCGTTGCTACTTTTTGGTCCCGTCCAGCAACGCCCCACACCCAGTACCAGCACCACCACGGAGAGTGACAACAGTGGCAGCAGGTCGGTGGAGGCAGTTCAAGGGGCTTCGTCGAAAACACCTTCCGGTGAAAATTCATACTATCCACTGGCACGCGATCCTTTCCTCGTGCAACAGGGACTGTTTTTTCATTTTCTTTATTCGCATCCATTTGTGCGTGTCAACGATGCTTCTTTTGTTGTGGATGCAGACGAGGTGATGACGAAGGAGGAGTACGATCACAGATCGAGGCACAAGGCAACTGTGCTGGATCAATTCCGTCTTGTGCATCGCAATGCTTCGACGATTAGGGTGAAGCGCGTGGATCAGGAAAAACTGGACGCCGATAAATGCCGGGAAAGCCTTGTAAAGGTGTTGAAGCGTGGACAGCTTCCACCCTGGTTGCGACCCATCTCTGTGTTCCATGAGGGCGAAGGGCCATTACCGTCAGCAGCGCAAAAGGAAGAGGAATTTGCCGACCATGTAGAATCCAAAACAACAAAGAAAACGCAACGGGACTCTGACATTACCGCCATTGCAAGATACACTGCAAGGGAGTTTTTCGATGACGACTACGACGAGGTGCCGCTTTTTAAGCCATCAACGGTGTGACCATAACTTTCTTTTGTCTGTGGTGGCGCTTTTTTTCTACCGGATGCGGTCAAAATCCGGTAGATACATGGTTGGCTTTTTGTAAGTGTGTCAATTTTTTTTTTTTTTTTTACCCCCCCCCCTTATCAACCACACACACCTACACCCCAACCCTTCTGTGTGTTTCTTCTTTTCTTTACACACATGTTGCAAACGAGGCCTATCTTTATGTCTTTTTTTCTTTTTTTCTTTTTTTTTTCTTTCTTTTTTATTTGGGGATAACTGTTTTTTATTTTTTATTTGTTTTCTCTCCTTTCTTGTTGTTGTTTGTTCTTTAGATATAATATATATATATATTATTGTTGCAGTTTGATAGTTAATAGAGAAAGAAAAGAAAAAAAGAACTCTCGAGCGCGGATCACATCACATTTTTTTTTTTTTCTTTTTTTTCGGGTTTATTGCTGGTTACTTGTGTCCTGTCTTCCCTTCTATATTTGTGTGTTCAAAAAAAAAAAAAAGATGAATGTGCTTATTTCTTCAGTTATTTCAAGCGGCGAGAAAAAAATATTCCAGAGCAGCGGTAGTGGCATGGTATTGAAAAAGACTTCTGAGCATTCGTCAAAATCACATTCCAGGGACAAATGTAGTGGATTTACCGTTATGTTGAAGGCATTGGCGCAAGATAACGTTTTGCTTCTAAGCATTTTGCATGGTGTTCCGGAAGAGGAACAGGACAAGTTGGCGGAACTCCTGGTGCATTTTCTTTGGATTGCGAGTGAGGTTTCCCCGATAGAAACCTCTCAAATTTTGTCGGTGCTTCTTCTGTTAGAGTTGGATCGTGCCACACACAAGCGGAATGATGTTCACACATTTATGCGAGGGAATGGTGTCGTGCCCAAGGTGTTTGAGGCTCTTTTGGCCAGAGTGACCAGCAATGCGGGTGGACTTGAGGAACAGCTGCTGAATTGCTGCAACATTTTACGTGAGGACGACGTCGCTCCCACCTTGGCGGGGGGCGAATCTCGTCTTGAGGAAGACGGTGGAGAGAGCCGCGGCGAGGCTTCTTCGCCCAAATTTCCCTTTGAGGGACTTAATTATTTTGAAAGTATGACTGCCGTGCCGTCAGAGGATGACGGAGGCATTTCACACAATGAGGACACTTATACGCAGGCGATTGTGGAGATGGCATATCGTATTTCAAATGTTGTCTACGCCTCCGTTTGCCAGTGGCCCTGGAGCTTGCGGCAATCTTTGCGATGTCTCCTGGAAACTGTGGGCGCAAGTTTCCGGGATGACGTGCACCTTGGACCCACAGGCAGTGACATGGAGATGTTGACAGTTTTGCAGCAAAATATGATGGCAACGATTGTGGTTCTTCGAGCGGTAGTACCAGCCCTACTAAATACGGTTCCCCGTTTACTCCCAGGAGTAAGTTGCTTTGACACCCATTACATCTTGGTGCAAAAACGCTGCACTTTGTTGGCGAAGTTGTCACAAAAGGCGGCTCATGGGTTATTGTTCAGCGGCCCACATGAGAGGGAGATGACTGCTTTTAATCGGGAAATACCCGCACTTACACAGAGGTGGGCAGATGTATTTCTGTGTGTGTGCCATAAAACGGATCCACCAACTCCACGTGAAGAGGGTGATTTGATGAACCGTTCCTCAGAAGTTGCACTGCAGTTTTTTGAATTTCTTGATCATCATGTTGTCCACTTGTTGCACTGGGTGCTGCAGCACAAGCCATTGTTGGAACCGACTTATTGTGGCCGTCTGTTGTGCCTTATTAGGTATGCTGAAAGACGATTGGGAACTGTGGGTCACTTTACTTCTATTTCATCTCTGTCTGAGCTCACATTTCCCGTCACGAATGATGGTTCCAACTCGTCAAGGATGCCACGGCCTGCATTCGGCTTGCTGTCACGTCTTGGTCATTTTCGACAGCTCTCCGATGGGTATGCCGGGAGCAATAACGTGGAAAATCCACCGCCAGAGGTAATTTTTGATGAGCTTCTTTCTTATGCCCTAAGCGTGTTAATTGATCCGGAGATTACAAAATTGCATGCTTCCTTTTGCGGCATTTCTGGTATTGCATCCGATGGAACAGTCGGCATTTTTGTTTACTTGGACTTACTAAGTCTATACCTTGCCGAGTACCAGGCAGAAGAAGGAATTGAGCTGCAGAGACGATGCCCGAACTTTTTTCGTTACAGAAAACCTTTTGTGATCAACGACGGTGACTCTTTTGCGTATCTTTTTCTTTTTATACATTTGGCGGTGTCAGCAAAAGGAAGTAAAGGATTCCGCCTGTTTGTTGTTGCCTCCAATTCCTCAAGGTGTTGTTCGTGGGTGTGGGACGCGTTTCGTTTATTGCCTTCCATATACACGGCACAGTGTGCACATGTATTTCTGCTGAACCCGGGGGATGTGCATTTTTTACCCAGTGATCGTGAACGCTCTTTTGGGGTCACTGTATGCCGACGGGCGAGTGAGTTATTTCTATTTTTGGAAGAATTACGGCTTCACCTGCCCCTTGGTTGCGTGGAGTACCAGACGCTGTTACTCAAAGGAAAGGAGGAGCATGACCAAATTTTTGGGAAACTCTTTCCACCTGTTCTTGAGGTGGAACCAAACAACACAGGAGAAAATGGCTGTGATACAGGTGTTGAATCGATGCTGCACGCATCACCGTACGTCCATATATGGCCTCTGGCGCTGATGTGGGAAGTGTTTTTATTGATTCAGTCCGCCATTGCTCCTCCAGAGGCCTCATCCTTATTGACGATAGCGGATGGGGTGGGAAGTGATACGGGTGTACGACCAATGCCCAGCATTCCCAAACATTTTTTGAGTCAATGGCGTATGAATGCGGTGGAATTTTTCTGCAATTTTGAGGGTGAATTGCTGCTGCATTTGGAGATTGAACCAAAATGGCTTCCCAAGACAATTTTGGGGAGTTATGGCAGAATTGAGGCTCTTTTGCGACCAGTCAATCATCATGAACGCCGATTTCGTTGCTCATGGTTTGCCGTGACTCAAGCCAGGGAAAGCGAAGTGGAGGCGTATGAGAGTTGTCTTATGCGTGTACTGTTTTTGGCGTCCCGGAGGTTTTTTGCGTGGGATGGTCTTTGCTCAAATAGTGGGCCCAGTAAAAACGAGTATTGGCCGAATGTCGTTCCAAGCTTGCGCCACACGACATTGGAGTCGCTTTGGCGGCTTTTGCTGTATAATTTATGGAATACGTTTGCGTTGTTGCGGCAGTTATCTCAAGGGCGTTGTCCTATAACATGCTTGACGGAGGTCATGAGGGCTTACTTGGGTCGTTCTTCCCAGCAAACTTCCATAGCTGACCATCTTCATCTCTTGGCCGGAGATGAAGCCCTGTTGAAAATGGCTGCGAATGCCATTGCGAATTCGTCTGCAGTCGGATGTGGACTTCTCCGACTAATTGTAGAAATTTGTGCGTTTGTTCGCAAAATAGATTTGGCAGAAATTGGCTCTGCTGCCAGTAAACATGACGGTGCTGATGCTGCGAGGAAGAATGCCATGACCGATGGAGTTATCCGCATTATATTCCGTAACGAAGAGCTTGATGACGCTGAACTTCTTGTCGCATACATGATTGCGACCCAGGGCAGGAGGCTTTTACCGTCAGTTTGTAATTTTTGTCCCCCCATCGAGCGCTGAAACGTGACTAAGCTTGTTCTTACTTCTGGGCCTGGCCTCTTTGCATTGACCCGACAGCTAGGAACAAAAGAAAAAAAATTAGAACTGGTGAGCGCAGAGGTGATGATAACCTCTTCTTTCTGGACATGCTGGGTGAGCACTGTAGCCGCGAATTTTTTTTTTTTTTTTTTTCGTTTACTTTATAAAACTTAAATCTACACGATTTCCGTGTTGCTCCAATTATTATTTATTTATTTTTTTATTACTTTGTTGTTACGCCGACCCTGTCATTTTAACCATTTATTTATTTATTTATTTATTTACATGTGCAATATATGCTGCATAAATATAATTTATTTTTATTTTTTTTTTTTTTTGCTTCTGAGTTCTTTGGTGTGGGTAGTAGGGGTTGCTGCCATTTTTTTATTTTTTATTTTTTATTTTTTTTTTTCTTCGGCTTCTTGTTTTGCGTGCTGCGTGGATAGCCGGTAAATTTGTGTAGGTGAGGAGCAAAATGAGCACTGTGGAGGATTTTGTTCTGCAGGCGCTGGCATCCACAGATGCCGTTGAGTCTGACAAGTTGGCGGAGACGTTGCGGGTCAATCATCAAGATGTTGTGGGCGCCATCAAGTCACTGGAGGCGGATGGCTACGTTGTGAGCGAAATTAAGCCAAAACCAACGTGGAAGCTGACAAGTGAGGCGGAGAATATATGCGAGAGCGGCAGCCCAGAGTTTCTTCTCTGGGAGTTGTTGGCAGGTGGTGCAATGACACAAGAAGACATTGCTGAGAAGTTTGGAAAAGATGTGGCCGCTGTGGCAGTAGCGAATGGCATGAAGGCTAAAATCTTTGCTTTAAATAAAAGTGAGGGTAAAATCATCGTCACTCGTTCCCCTTCTGTCTCCTCCTTTCACGACGGCATACGCGTTTCACTGATGCGGGCCCTGAAGGGCGAGCATGTCGATCCAAAGGAAGCGGAGACGCTCAAGAAGCGCAAGCTGGCGACGCTGGACAACATGAAGGTCTTTTTCGTGACCAAGGGCCCAAATTATGCGACACAACGACGGGCAAAGGCGGTGGGTGATCTCACGAAGGAAATGCTGCAGGATGGGTCGTGGAAGACAGCGCACTTCAAGGAGTATAACCTTGGCGCCGCGGGTCGTGAGGTGGGCTGTGGCCAGCTGCACCCACTCCTCAAGGTACGCCAAGAGTTCCGCGAGATATTCATGGAGCTTGGTTTTCGGGAGATGGAGACGGATCGCTGGGTGGAGTCTTCCTTTTGGAACTTTGATGCGCTCTTTATTGCACAAAACCACCCTGCCCGCGATGTGCAGGACACTTTTTTTGTCTCCAAGCCATCGACCCATAAGCTGGATCACCGCGAGGTTGTGGACCGCGTGCGTGAAATGCACGAAAAGAACTTTAATTACACATGGAAAGAGGAGGAGGCACGGCGTAATGTGCTGCGCACGCACACAACTTGCTGTTCCGGCTATTGGCTCCATCACATTGCGAAATCGTCCCCGTTGCTACCGAACGGACGCCGTGATTTTTGCCCTGGTCGCTACTACAGCATTGACCGTGTCTTCCGCAATGAGGAGATGGACCGCACACATCTTTGTGAGTTCCACCAAGTTGAGGGCTGCGTCATTGACCGTAACATCTCCCTATCGAATATGATGCACACTTTTCAGCTTTTCTTTAGTCGGATTGGAGTAGAGAAGTTACGCTTCAAGCCTGTCTTCAACCCGTACACGGAGCCGTCAATGGAAATCTTTGGCTGGCACAAGCAGCTGAAGCGGTGGATTGAAGTGGGCAACAGCGGCCTCTTCCGCCCCGAGATGCTTGTGCCGCTGGGCTTTGACGAGGACGTCACGGTGATGGCGTGGGGACTGTCGCTCGAACGGCCAACGATGATCAAGTACGGCCTGTCGAGTATCCACGAGCTCTTTGGTCACAAGGTTGATCTGCGCTTTATCAAACAATCCAAACTGATGCGTTTCTAAATTGTGAGGGATTTGTGGAGGCAAGGAGAAACAAACAAACAAACAAACAGAAAAAAAAAATTAAAAATAAGAAACATGGGGAAAACAAACCAAAAAAAAAAAACAAAAAATCGCGGAGTGAGAAAGAAGGATGAAGGAAGGACGGCGAGAAAAGAGGTGCGTCATTGCCCCTTCTCTCCATTCCACCATCAATCTAGACGCACGCCCGAATAAAAGCAAGAAAAAAAAAAGGAGGAAGACAAACAAATAGCGGAGCAGCAGCGACAAAAACAATAATAACGAGTGGAACCCATTTCTTTTAGTATGTGAAGAGGCAAAGAAGCCAAAAAGACACGGCAACGACCCGCAGTGAGGGGTCGTTGGCCTTGAGGAGCCTCTCAATCCCTGCTTCTTGTGAGGGAACGATGGGGCAGAAGCAGAAGTGCAGACATGCTCTTCTTTTGTTGTTATTGTTGTAAGTAACGTTGTTTTTACTTACTTTTATTCTTATTGGTCCATTGGCTGTTCAACATAGCCTCTGTTTCTTTCTTTATGCTGTTTTTGTTTTTGCTCGTTGTTTTGTTTACGATTGTTTTTCTTTCTCCCCTACCCTCGTTTTTTTTTGGGGGGTGTAGTGCGGAGAAGTTCAGCGATGGTGAAGCCGCATCTTCGTCACTACTGCGTCGTGGGCCGCGAGACGCCCTCGGAGAAGAACCCCGCGCCGACAGTATACAAGTTTGAGGTGTTTGCCCCCAACTTTGTTGTCGCCAAGAGCCGCTTCTGGCGCATGATGCGGGAGAAGAATAAGGTGAAGTCCACCCACGGTGATGTGCTCTCGTGCAAGGTCGTGAAGGACCGCAAGCTGGTCGCACGCAACTACAGTGTCGACATTGCGTACTACAGCCAGCGCTGCGGCTACACGCACATGGTGAAGGAGTTCCGCGATGTCTCCAAGGCCGGCGCGGTGAGCCAGGCGTACCACGACCTCGCCTCTCGCCACCGTGCGCGGTACCACAACATTGAGGTGCTGGGCGTGAAGAGCATTCCGAACCACCAGGTGAAGCGTCTCAGCATTTCGGAGTACCACGCCAGCAATCTCTCCTTCCCGCTCCTGCACCGCCGCGTCAAGGCACCACGCAAAGACCGCGTCGTCTTTGTCAAGAAGAACACGAAGCGCGCCGTCGTTGCGTAGACGTCTGTTCTCTTCTCTGTGCAACATCACGCTTGCTTTCTGCTTTTGCTGCCAAATTTTTTGTTTTGTTGTTTGTTTCTTTTAAATGCAAAAAAAGAACGAAAAGATACTGACAATTGGAAACGGCTTTGTGGTTCCTGTTTTTTGTTTGTTTGTTTTTTGCCGCTTAGTTTCCGTGTTCTATGTGATCCTTCTTTAGTTGCCACTGGCCCCGGAAGCAAATTGATGCACTTGTCCTTTTTTCCCCCACAGTCTTTCCCCTTCTTTGTCTTTCGGCTACGCTGTTGGATACGGGAACAACCGAAGCACAAATAACACTAAGCGAAAAAGGGAATTAAAACAACAACAACAAAAACAAAAACAAGAAGATAATAATTAGATTTGAAAGATAATTAATAAGGAGTGCTGTTTTGAGAAGGTCAACACAGTCAGACACAAGGAAGAGGGAGGGGGACAGAGAAGGAGGGGTGATTTTGTGGGTCGTGTGATCGTTGCATGTTCACCCTCACATTGCTAAAAAGAGTAGTACACACACATATATATATTATATATAGTCAGGGTTGTTATTATTAACCGTAGAGGGTATTGTTCACGTACCTTGTATTAATTGTTTGCCACATTTTTTTGGAGGCTTTTTATTTGCGCTTACGGAAAAAGCGTGTTGAAGGCTTGTTGCACGCTCTACCTCTTTTGGCGCCGCAGTGCCATTTTGTTTTGTCGCCGTCGTTGGCCAATCATCCACGGCAGCCCTGGAATAATGTCCTCGGGGAAATGGCACCTTAACCCCGACGACCCGAGCAATGCCTACCCCCTGTACGCCACCACACCAGTCCCGCCTAAGAAACCGGGCACCGTGCGTATTTGGGTCGACGGCTGCTTTGACATGCTGCACTTTGGCCACGCCAATGCACTTCGCCAGGCGGCGGCGCTCGGTGACGAGTTGTTTGTTGGTTGCCATTCTGACGCGGAGATTATGCAATACAAGGGGCCCCCCATTATGCATGAGGAAGAGCGTTACGAGGCTCTTCGTGCGTGCAAGTGGGTCGATTTTGTTGTGGAGGGGTACCCTTATGTCACTCGACTTGCAGACATGGATCGCCTGGAGGTGGATTACGTTGTACACGGCGATGACATTTCTGTCGACCTGAACGGTCATAATTCATATCAAGAGATTATAGATGCGGGTCGCTTCAAGGTTATAAAAAGAACAGAGAGTATTTCCACCACAGATCTTGTTGGGCGAATGCTTCTTTGCAACCATAGCGGCGCATTAACCGCGGCAGAGAACAAGCTTCTGGAAGATGAGGCCAAAAGGCATGCTGCCTTCCATTACCTAACGACGTCTAGAAAAATTGCTCAGTTTAGTAATAATCGTGGTCCAAACCCGGGTGACCGGATCGTATACGTGGATGGTAGTTTTGATTTGTTTCATTATGGTCATATTCGAGTCTTACAAAAGGCGCGTGAACTGGGCGATTACGTTATTGCTGGTGTTCACGAGGAAAGCGCCATTCGCAAGGCAAAAGGAAGTGATTTTCCCATTATGAGCCTCAATGAGCGTGTTCTTGGTGTATTATCATGCAGATATGTTGATGAAGTTGTTCTTGGTGCACCTTATGAAGTCACACGCGAAGTAATTGAAAGCCTTGGTATCACCGTCGTTGTTGGAGGAAAGAAGTGTGACGAGTGCAACTATGAGGATGGACGGGATGCCTATGCGGTGCCTAAAGAGATGGGTTGCTTTTATGAGGTGGATTCTGAGTGCGACCTTACCACACGCGCTCTTGTAGACCGTGTATTTAAGAACCAAGTGGCGTTTCTCAAAAGACAGTCTGAAAAACGACTAAAGGAAATCACGGACTTTGAATGTAAACCGGCACTGTACAAAAATGTGAGGGAGTTGTAGGGAGAAACCAGGAGAGGTGCGTACAGGGATAATGCTGGTGAGAGGTAGGTGGCGCAATGGGACTCTCCAGTATTTTTTTTTTTTTTTTTTTGGTTCATTTGCCTTTTGACGAGTATCGTTACAAAAAAAAAAAAAGGTGGGATAAAGAGGGAAGTAGAAAGAGGCATCCTTAACTTCCTCACCCCCGTATCGCTGGTACTCAAAGGCAGAAGCACGTTTTCTCTTCGAAAACAATAATAATAAGAGTTATGTACACTCCCTCGCTACATGATGACGCCTGCCCTACGGTATTTGACCACAGTGCATGGGAAGTAGGTAGAACGTAGCAGGTACGGAGGAAACTACTGGTAGAAGGAGTGGCATATATATATATATATATATGCCCATGAGTATATGTGTATACATATATATACTATAGAATATGCTCTGTACCTTGCGGTAAAATGGATAAGGAGAAAAAGAATTCCTTTTTTCATTTTTTTAATTGAGAGGGTAAATTTGATTATACATTACTATTATTATTATGTGTATTTTTGTTGTTGTTGTTGTTGGTGGTGGTGGTGTTTATCTTTCTACTGCTATGAAACAGACATGATTGTATCTTTTATTTATTCTTTTTTTCTTTTTCTTTTTTATTTATTCTTTTTTTTTGTGTGTGTCTTTCTTAATTTTTTTTGTTGTTTCCTCCTCGTTCCCTTGTTTTTATTAATTTTCTTCTGCCAAACGTGTTTGTGCTGTGCATTTCCGCATTACAAACCACAATGGTGTGCAAATTTTATTTAATACAAGGAAGGATTGCACTTCATGTCGTGGCAAGTGGTTCTTCCTTACGTGGACAAGGCACCATGTCCACTAAAAATGGCGCAGGCGCGTGCAATGGTGCGCCATGAAGCGGAATGCAAAGAAGAGGAGGGGAGGGCGTATGGAGAGAAGCTTTGCGTCTTGCGAGATGTCCAAAGGAGAAACATGGACGAGTACAATAAATTTAGAAGTGAGATGCGCGCGGCACGCAGAGAACTTCTTCTGCTTTTGGCCTCTCAGAACTCAAACTCACTTATGAGGAAACGGGTGCGGTCACAAGACGTGACAGCGGATTGCGAGATGTTGTGTTTTGAGGGGCTTCTCACCGAATCGTTGGGTCTGGAGTTGCTCCTGCAATTTGGAGAAGGGCACAGTAGAGAGTACGCGGTCGCAGCGGCGGTATTAGAGGCCTTGCAGTGCACACAAGAGGCGCTGCATGCCACGAGGCGGCGCACGGAGGAAATCAACGCTTTACGCTGCGTGGAGCAACAGCAGTGTGCGAAGCTGCTAGCCGCAAAGGAACGAGTAGCAAGCAGACGTTTGGAAAAGATTCGCGCACTTGAAAAAGTATTGCGTGACGCTGAGGGCCCACGTCATGGCTCAAAATTGTTGGATTTGCTGGAATAAGGTGTGGTCTTTGGCAGAATTTAACTGGCATGCTTCCATGTCTTTTTTTCTTTCTTTCTTTAGAAGAATTTGGAAGGCGTGTGCAGCCGGATGGGGGTGAAGGGGATGGTTCCACGTTGGAAGGCGGCACGAGCGCAATTTCTTTTTTTGTCCCGCCCGCCAATACGGCTGCCCCCAGCGTGGAAGTGCGTCTGGCGATTGTAGGGTTTTCTTAAGGACCGCTACCTCTTGAATTTATAACTAGCCACGGCTCTCATGACATATGCCTTTTTTGAATTTAATCGTCGCTGTTCCATTGTGTTTGCATGTTGAATGAATCTTTTTTGAGGTACGGGACGATGGGCGCATTGAACGAAACTGCAATCTTCCATTGTGTTTTTTTTTTTTTTTTTTTTGTGTGTGTGTGTGTTTGTGCGTAAGAGACTTTGGCGCTTGAGCAGCTCTGGGGGCCCCAACCCTTTCTTAAATATTTTAGCCGCAGGACTGAATATGGCATCTTACACCATCGCTCCACATGAAGACCATGACATCACGTTGTCTTCAGGGGACAAATTCCATGTGGTTGTTTTTGGTGGAATTGACGCTGAATATACTCGGCGAGGGGAAACGCCTCCTCCCGCTCTCTTCTGTCTGCACGGGGCCGGTATGAGCTGTTCTAGTTATTTCTCACTCTCCACCCATTTGATGCATCCGCAACACGATGAAACGGATAGCGTCGGGATGCATCCTGATGAATCCACAGACGTTGTTCGTGTGGTTGCATATGATATGCGTTGCCATGGAGAGTCAACGTTTACCGGAGGCGAGGCGAATCTCACATTGGAGTTACTTATGGACGACTTTTCTGCCGTATTACGAGCGGTTAAAGAGACTTTATTCCCTGACACAGCCCGACTATACGTTGTGGGCCATTCACTTGGTGGCTCAGTCGCGGTAAATGCCCTGAGTAAGGAGAAGGAGTTGATGAACATGGTAGCGGGTGTGGTGCTGCTTGATGTGGTGGAAGGCACTGCCAAGTTGTCGCTGAAACACATGGACAAGTTTCTTCAGAACCGTCCACATAAATTTGCGGGTGTGGAGGAGGCAGAACGTTGGTTCTTACAACGTGGCGGCATGACAACACCTGCAGCAGCGGCAGTGACAGTACCTCCATTGCTAAAGCGTGTTGGCGACCACTACGAATGGAAGACCAACTTGGAGGCAATGGCGCCTGTTTGGTCTGGGTGGTTTAACGGGCTTGATGATGCGTTTGTCGGGCTGCCGTGTCCGAAGATTCTTTGCCTTGCCACTGCTGAGCGCCTTGATACTGCCCTTACTGTTGCACAGATGCAGGGGAAGTTTCAGTTTGAGATTCTTGGTGGCGGCTGCGGGCACTACGTCATGGACGACCAGCCGGCCGTTCTCGCCTTAAAGCTCCGCCGCTTTATCAAACGGATTGAAACGCTGTCGGAAAAACTTCAAATAAGCCTGAAGAAGCAACCGTAGCCAGTGAATATTAGACGAACTCATTGTGTTTGCTTCACTATATTATTTAGGTGGAGTATTTCTGTTACAGAAAAGTGACTACAAATGAGATGGGAATTGTTTTTTTTTTTTTTTTTGTGTGTGTGGACCTTGTCATTTTATTGCGGGGTGCCCTTTTGTTATTATTATTATTGTTATTATTTTGCTTCTTATTCTTCTTGCGATATGGAGGGATGGTGGGAGAAATTTGCTTTGCGTTGTGTCGCACGAAGCTGACATCTTCCCCCCCCCCCCCTTTTTTTTTTGTCTTTTGTCTTTGGCATCTATTCCTAATTTGGTTACCGACCTTCTTTTTTCTTTTTTATATAAATATGTGGACGTGCACGCTCCACCCCTTGCAATAGAGGAAGAGGATCTCATAAATATGCCGCGTGAAGGGGCAAGTGGCTTGTGGCGCTCGGAGGACATGATTCGTCTTGATGTCATCACACAACGTGAGGTTCTGTACGAAACAGTTGTCTGCATTGGGCTCCTTGGAAAGGCAAAGTTTGTGGACGTGAATAACGACGTGACCGCCTTTTCGCGACATTTTACGACTGAAATTCGTCGCTACGATGAAATGGAGAGAAAGCTCTCTATAATCAACGGGGAGCTGGCGAGGGAGAGGGAGTTGGTTGAGGCGTGCTCCCCTTCATTGGATGCTCACGACGATGTGAAGAGAATTTTGTGCAGCACCATGATTGAGGAAGACGAGGAAAAGGTTGACTCACTGGTGGAGGAGTTGAAAAGAGTAAACGCATCGCTTCAAGGCCTGCGAAGTGAGATGAATTTCCGCCTTGAGTTGTCTTTACTTCACACGCGGCTACAGGACCTCGTGTCGTCCCAATTCTCTCAGCCATCTGTTGCGTTCCTGCAGACATCACACTTACTAGGAATGGTGGATGCAGCCCGAGCAGAGGCGATGTACGCAATGGCCTACCGGGCAACCAAAGGCAATGTCCTCATAGAGCTAGATAACAAGCCCGCCATGCTCCTTGATCCAATAACTGGCGAACGATGTATTGCCAAAACACCTTTCGCCATATTTGCGCCTTCACCTGGTTTACTGAAGCGGGTGGAGCGTCTTGTTCTAACGCTTGGAGCGACGGTTCACTCATTGCGAGATGTATCGCAGGCTAAGATGGAAGGACAGCATCGCGAAATGGAGGAATTACAAGAAATGTACGACAGGATGCATGTACGTAAACTGGAGCTTATTCAGCAGCATGCTCGCATTTATCATGAGTTGCTTCGAATTGTGCGAATGAAGAAAAAAGTATTTACAATCATGAATTTGTGTGTTGTGAGTGGTTCGACATGTACTGCATCCGTATGGATTCCAAAAAAGCATGAACATACTCTTCGTGCTGCAATAAGGGAGGCCGTGCATGCATCTGCAGGAGAGGTGTTTTCTGTCGTTACACTTCACTCCTCACAAAGAAATCCTCCCACATTTTTTGATACCAACAAATTTACGCAATGTTTTCAGAGCATTGTGGACAGTTACGGCGCGGCTCGATACAAGGAAATAAATCCAGGAGTATTTACCATTGTGACATTTCCTTATTTATTTGGTATTATGTATGGTGATATTGGTCACGGTATGTTGTTGTTGCTTTTTGCTTTTTATTTAATTTTGATGGAAAATCGTTGGAATCGTTGCCAGTTGAATGAAATTTTGGCCATGCTTTTTGGCGGCCGTTACCTGTTGTTGCTGATGGGTGTTTTCTCCATTTACATGGGGGCTCTCTACAACGACTTTTTTGGCTTTTCAGTTGGGCTGTTTTCTAGCGCGTACGCATGGCCCCCTATTGGCGAACAAAATGGGACCGTACACCCCCTGGGTGAGAAGAACCGAACGGGTATTTACCCAATGGGACTTGATGTCGCATGGGCAGAGACGGAGAACAAGTTGGAATTTTACAATTCTGTCAAAATGAAGTGTGCTGTCATTGTTGGTGTGGTTCAGATGCTCACAGGAAACGTCCTTTCGCTGTTTAATCACATCTACAATCGAGAACTCCACAAGGCTATTTTTCTCTTTATCCCAGAAATACTTTTTCTTCTTTGCACATTTGGTTACATGTCGCTTCTTATTGTGGTAAAATGGTGTACGCGGTGGGAGAACACGAGTGAGGCTCCAAGTATACTGGAAACCATGACAAACTTCTTTTTACAGCCTGGTATAGTGTCACAGCCGCTCTATAATGGGCAGAAATGGGTCCAAATCTTACTACTGCTCACAGCGTTTGCCATGGTTCCTGTGATGTTGCTTGTGATGCCTCTTATTGAGGTCCGCAAACACAGGGAAGAGTATTTGGGATATCGTTTGTTTTTGGACAGTGTCTCACTGCCGGCAATCAACGGGAGCGACTCAAAAACGAGTGAGGATCCAATCGTTACCGTCTCCACTGCACGTCGGAATGAGTTCCCTGTAGCTAGTTTAGAGAATACGTTGGGTAGCCATTTAGGTATGGGTTGGGAGAATAATCACACTGAAGACACACCTTTGGGGCATGCTTCGTACGGTACTGGTGCCGCTCCTGCTGATTATGATGATTATGAGGGGGGAAATCGCTTAGATTCGTCTGAGGTTTTTATTCATTATGTGATACACACTATCGAGTATGTTCTTGGTTGCGTATCGAATACTGCATCGTATCTTCGCCTGTGGGCCCTTTCATTGGCTCACGCACAACTGTCAGAAGTATTCTTTAACTTTGCGGTGGTAAAGGTGCTGGGCATGGATACAACAGGTGTCTTTATTGCCGCGGGAATTGCCATTTGGTTGGCAGTGACGCTGGCAGTGCTTGTGGGGATGGAGGCTCTTTCTGCCTTTTTGCATGCTCTTCGTTTACATTGGGTGGAGTTTAACAACAAGTTTTACGTCGGTGATGGCGTTGCACACGAACCATTTGACTTGCTGGATTACTTGGAGTATTAACAGCAATTGTTCTTTTGGTTTGATTTCACGTGTTGGGGCGCAAAGTTTTTGTGTTGATTTTGATTATTATTTTGTTGATGTTGTTGTTTTTACTCTCCTGTTTCTCGACCTGACACAGATAAATTATGCATTTTCCTGTACGAAGTGAGTGGCTCCTCTATGGCGCTCAGGCGACAAGTATTTATTTACTTTGGTATGTGTTCTACACGGCCGGTCGGTGGTCGTCCCCGACAGATCGTCACAAGCACCCAAAGAAATAACAACGAAGTGGATTTTATTTTATTTTATTTTTATTTTTATTTTTATTTTGTGTGTGCGTTTGTGTGATGTAATGCTTTCTTCTTTTATTTATTACCATCTTTTTTTTTTTTCCCGCATGTGTAGTGCATAGTATTAAATGGTTACAAGGAATATTAAAATGTCTCATTGGGAGCTTGACGACAATAACGATTATTTTTTCAAGATTCCCACATTTACGTCACCGAAGGAACAGAGCGACGCGGGCTCCGACTCCCGTGAATTGGATTCTCAGCACCAGAATGAGATGTCTATTGTGCCGGGGATGAGCGTCGCCGAGTTGTTGGAGGCGCACCGCCAGGTCCTCCTGTCGTTAAACGCCGATTCCAACAAGAGAGGCGATAGAGAGCTCCACAGCCTCACTCTCAGCCGCCGTCATCTGCTACGCCCCAACATGTACGAGAGCATGGTGATTGATGGCGTTCTGGAGTCGCTTACAAGCTTCAGTTTCGGCGTGAGTGAGGACGGATGAATGGATAGAAAGAGGCTGACGTGTTTGCTGAAAAGGGGGGGCTTATTCTTCTTTTTGTTTTTGTTTTTTCAAAGTTTTTTTTTTTTTTTTGTGCGGTGACTTTATTTATTTTTGTTGGGTTTTTTTTTGTTTGTTTGTTTTTAGTTGTTGTTTTTTTGTTTTTTATGTGCGAATTTTTTTTTTTTTTGGTGTTGTTTTTGTTTTTGTTTCACTGAAGAGAATAAAACAAAAAAAGGGCGGTGGGAAAAGAAAAAAAGAAAAAGTGTTCGGTCCCATACATGGGGACATTGCAGGTGGTGGTGGTGGTGGTTACGTGTACGCAGGCTTGTGAGTCTGGTGGAGAAAACGTATTTGTTCATTACTTTTTTATTTGTTTGTTTGTTTTATTTTCTTGTGAATAAATTTGTGGGTCTGCGTGAAAGGAAAAGGAGGGCGCGAGGGAGTTTTTTCTTTTTGGAAGGGACGAACGCGACGTGGAGTCGTGGCGCCAAAAGAGCGCTTGACTTTGGGGATGAGACGCTCCGTTGGTGTTTTGTTTTTTCGTGTGTGCTGCCGATGCCTCCTCCCCCTTTTTTTTTTCTTCCTCCCTTCGAAGTAAATACGGTTTTCACCCTCTTTTTTTTTTTTTTGAGTGATTGAGAGCGTGTAGGAACGCGCGGTGTTTATTGTTGTAACATCCTCTTTTCCGCAGCCCGACCTGCCGCATGCCCCTCCCCCTTTTTTTTCTTTTCTTCCCTCCGAAGTAAATACGGTTTTCACCTTCTTTTTTTTTTTTTTTTTTTGGGTGTTGTCGTTGTTCCTTTCCCCGATGCTCACATGCGTACATATTGACACTAATGATGATCTTACAGAGTACGTGGGTGCACGCGAATACACGTGCCCACACGAGGAGTGCACCACCGAATTGTTTTTTGTTAATTTTTTTTATTTTTGTTTGAGATTTCTGCTTCTTTGGCACCCTCCCCGCTGCCTATTGGCTCTTCCTCTTCGCCTCCCCCTAACAAAAGCTCCACACACACACACAGAGAGAGAGGGAAAGAGGGAGAAAGAGGAGGAGGAGGAGGGTAAGATGTGTGCTTACAAAATCGTTAATTATGTTTATTTTTGTTTGTTTTATATGAGAATGAAGGGGGTGGTGAACGGGAGGGAAATAAAAATTGTTCGGAGGAGAAAAAAAAAAAAAAAAAAAGGAGGAGAAAACAAAATTGAGTAGTTTTGAATTGAACGCCTTTCTTTTAAGAAATACGCCCAAAAGCAACGACGATCTTTCTTTTGATTTATTCCGTGGTTAAAAAAAAAAAAAAAAAACGTTTACTACCAGGCACAGGCACACGCACTCTGACAGTTTTTCCGTGTTTCTTTCTTATGACTGTTATTCATCCTCCCTAAAGAAACTTTTCTTCTTCGTTTTTTTTTTTTCTTATAAACAAATCTTTCTGCGTGGTGGGATAAATATGCAAACACGAACGTACACACAAAAGGGATAGGAAGAACGAATTTCTTTTTTTTTTTTTTTTGGATTTTATATTCTTATTTATTTATTTGTTTTCTTTCACCTTACATTGTTACACTTGGGTGTATACATTAGACGTCTACACGGTGACTGAACGGATGTTGTTTGCATGGATTCTCACTATACTTGCTCTTTTTCTCTCGTGGCTGTGGAATGTGCGGCTGCGTTCATCTAACAGTCACAGGCCATACAAGGTGCTGCACAAACCAATTCAGTATTTACAGGCGGATTTTGTTGTTGTTGGGGCTGGTCCAGGCGGTCTTGCCGCTTCGAAATGTTTAATTGAGCATGAAAAGGAATGCTTGGTGCTTGTTATTGAGCGAGGCATGGATCCATCTCCTGCTGGTCCTTTTCCCAGGATTACTGGTCTTGCGCACAGGCATAATTTGCTGTCGTATGCCGTGGAATCTGTTGGATCAAAACTGGACAGCGGATGGTACGTGGAATACCCTTTGCGTTACGGTAGGAATGAGGACGATGATGACGTCCCCTGCTCCGTTGCACCGTATCCGAGAGGATGTGCTGTTGGAGGTACTTCCAACATGGATTGGGCCCTGTATTTCCCACCGGTCCCTGCAAAAGTCGGATTGAAGCCCATTGAAGCGGTTATTGTACCACATGCTTTTGCAGTTAGTCGAAACCCCTTGTCCTGGGGGTTTGCGGAGTCTGCTGGGGCGGTTTTGAAAAGGAAGCATCTTTCCAGTTTTTCGGAGCCGTACATGCGCAATAGTGTCTTTCCTGGACTACTACGTATTGACAAATATGGGTGCCGTCTTTCACTTTCACATCATTTGATGAGCCAGCAATCTCCCAGTTTTTCTATTTTGGAAGGCTGCGAGGTTACAGGCTTTTCGTTTGACGACAAGGGCACCGTCACAAGTGTTCAGTGCAGATCGGTAGACTCACAAATTTTTAAGGTAATTGTTCGCAAGGGTGTCATTTTGTCAGCCGGTGTCATAGGGACCGCGCGGATTATTAGACAAGTGTTTCCGAAGCTACAGGAGCACTTTTTTGTTCGTGATTCGATTGCATTGCCACTAATTTTTCGAGCCCGTCCTGGGATATCGGACGATCGTCGAAATCTCCGTTCGTTTACGGCACAAATAATGTGGTGGGTAGCGCGACGAGGACCTTTTTTGAACGCCGTATGCGACACACTCGCGGTTGTGGATTTGCCTTCGCTTGGTTCCCGTGCGGAACTTGTTGTCTTTTTATTGCCTTTTGGGGGTCGCGATCCCACACTGTATCGTCGGTTGGGTTTGGATCGCATACTTGGCATGTTTGCCGAGGGATTTATGATGTTTTTGACTCTACGTGGCGTGGATGGCGCATGCTTTGAGCTATCAGCCGAGTCTCCGGGGAAGGAAGTGGAAAGAAGAAAAGAATTCCATCCTCTGTTTGATAGGGTTATTTCTTTCCCCGCCTCTACAATGTCTCCTAGTACGTTGACGAATGTGGTGGCTGCCTTTATGGATGGCATTCAACTTTGTCGAAAAATCGTAGCTGAACCGCCACTTGCGCACTTTTCAACTGGGCAAGAGGCTGTAGATGTGACGTTATGCGCAGACCCTACACGTGCGGTTCAATACGTGCAGTTGATGCGGAAACCACCGTCAAAGCTCAAGGAATGTCAAAGGGCGAGTGCCCCCGCATTGCTTGCGTGGGCAAAGGAATCCTCAAGAACTCCGGCGTATATGGAGGCATACATTCGACGACATGCAATTTGGTTTGGTTTCGGGAGTGGCTCCTGTGCGGCATCTCTTGCAAATGGTGATGAAAGTTTTCGTGTGTCGGGCACCCAAAACATGTTTATTGGTGACTGCTCAGGTGTGACGGAGAAGATGTGGAGGGCTGGCGGTGGTGACACACTAAGTGCCGGTTCTGTATCCACGGCCATGGCTCTAGGAAACGCAGCCGCAATGGAGTTGTTATCGCTTTAATACAGAATATTTCCTGCAAAACAATCATAAGTTAATTGGGTTTTGTGGTTAACAAATTGAATCATTTGTTGTTGTTGTTGTTGTTCGCTTGTGTTGTCGGTTAATTATTTTTTTTTTTTCCGGATCGTTTCTTGCTCGAATATTGGCTCATTTACTATTATTCAGTACTGAGACCCATCGTAGTTTTGTTTGGATGCTTTCCACCATCTTTAGTTGTTGTTCTTGTTTCTGATTTCGTAGTGGGAAGGAGTTGCGTCCGTGAGAAACTTTTCCGGCACGCCTTTTCCCCCCACCCACAGCCGGTACACCTGGAGAGGTGTTGAGATCCATTTGTCCAGAAGAGAGGGTGTGAGGGAAAACGCGACCCAACGATGCGGTCGGGTAGCTGCGATGGGGAGGTCTCTACGAAAATGGGTGACCGTGAGCTCGCCGCAGAGTTGCGGAAACTTTGCGATGTTCTCAGCGGCTCTGTGAGGGGTGCAATGGACAAAGACAACTGGAAGGAACGACTTGCCGCGTTGAGGGGACTTTCCAAACTTGCCCGAGGCGACATATCCAACTGTCATGGATTTCTTTCGCTGATGAGCATGTATGTGAAGGTTCCACTGCAACGTCACATTGAAGAACTGCGGACTGTGCTGAGCACGGAAGCATGTTACGTGGTGTCTGCGTTTGCACAACACTCAAGCAACCGTTCCGCGTGGCGAGTTGCGACCGAGTGGTTTGTTTCATCCTTGCTACAACTGACGACGCGTACCAACCGTAGTTCCCTCTTGGCCGCAATAGAGACGTTGGAGACGCTTGCAAGGAGGAAGAGTTTTGGGCCGGCAGCATTTGCGGAACTGCTCCGCGGCTGCACTGCCCGCCACGCGGCAACACGGCGGAATGCCTTTGGTGTACTTCAAGTGATCATCAAGCAAGGCCAGAACGATGACAATGAGGCTCATCTTTCAAATTTCATCGATGCGATCTGCAGGGTGCTGCGCTCTGGATTGGCGGACGCGGATCACGAGACGCGAAGACGCGCCCGAGTGTGTTTTTGGATTTTAAATGCGAACGAGCCAGAGGCGGCGGAGACGCTCTACAAGGGTCTGGAGAACTCTGTGAGGCGTTCATTAGACCGCAAAATGAGTCCGTCCATCCAGAAGAAAAAGGAGACCGCAGGTTCCGCCGTCACACAAGTTTTGGCAACGAAAAAGAAGGCGGCGAAAAATGAGGAGGCGGAGGCCGTAAAGGAATCGCCATTGCCGCCGCAAACATCTATCACCACAACGAAGCGTCACGGCAACAATCTTGTGAGGAAGTTGGATGAGGGGAAAAAAGAGGTAGAAGAAATGGCGGAGAACTGGGCGCTGGTCCAGGATGCGCTGCGAAGTACGTTGTGGTCCGAGCGTCTATTGGGACTCCGGCGTCTCTCTGAAGAGTTTTCCCGTTTTCGTCAAAAGGCGGAATGCGTCAATTTGTTGATCCCGCGATTGAACGATCCCAACTCTCGCGTGTCGCAAATGGCGATTCAGGCGTTAAATGTGATCATGCGTGTCTCGCCCAACATATTGAAAGACTGTCTGCCGGAGGTGATAACCGCTCTTCTTGTCAACATGAGTGGAAACAAGGAGGTGTTGTCGAGCGCCTCACGGGAGCATCTTGCCAGGATCATTCAGCTTAGTTCAGTGGATGACGTGGCACGCGCTATTTATCGTACACTAGGCGACGTGGTTGCGCCAAAGGTGAAGGTGCACGCTGTGGAATATGTCCAATACCTTTACGAGCAAAATGCAACGCATTTTGAACAGGCTTCGCCAATGCATCTGGCTTTTCATCATCTTTTACAGTGCTTAAAAACCGAGAAAAAAGGCGGTGATGTCTACAAGGCGACTCTTTCTGCTCTTACGGCGTTGTACGTCTCTGCCGCGAGAAATTTTCTACGCATCTTGCTTCAGTTCTCACCGGGTGAACGCGATGCTATCGTTGAAGCTTTAGAGACCGCCGTTCCGCACCTGGGACAGGAGTGCCGACGTCGCTTGATGGGCGAGAGGCCGTTGCAGCATGCTCCTTTGCACGTTCGCTCCCCATTTGAAGAGAAACTCAGACGCGTCAGTGACACGCAACCGAAGACTCGTCCAGGGACAAGGAAGCAGAGGAATGTACGACAGCAAGAAAGAGGCATCCCTTTTTCTTCTGCTCCTTCTTCCGTCAAAAAGACGAAATGTTCTGAGAAGGTTCGTAGCGTTTCATCCAATCATGAACAACCAAATGGCCGGTTAGAAAAAACACGCACGGCAAGTTGTGATGCATTGAATTTGGTACGCTCGCCAACCCTCAAACAATCTCCTTTCCGTGATTCACCGCTGAGGACTCAGCGGCCGTCTCATTGTGATCCAATCGCCCCTGTGGAGGCGCCATTGTCCCGTCAAGTTAAGAGAAAGACTGATGATGCCAGCGACCTTCTTGATCTTTTGGAAGAAGCATGTGAAATGGCAGACACCTGCGCTATTCTAAACCGGATTCAAAATATGATAGTGGTAAATCCAAGGCCGTGGCTAGAAGTCTTTGGAAGGCTTTTAGTGCACCTGGAAAGAATTATTCCTCAGTCGCATGAACTCAATCATGCTGTGCGGCGTCGTGGCCTTCTCGTTCTGCAATCCCTAGTTGGGCAGAGAGCTCTTCAGCGACCAATCATTCGATCTTTAAAACAAGTTTTTCTTCTTGTACGCGTTGGAATGGATGATGCCTTTCCTGAAGTGCACGTCGAGGCCACGTCTGTGCTACAATTAGTTCTCAGTTGTGGTATTTATCCCACAGATCACATTCTAAACGCCATCGCCATGAGTTTAGAGAATTGGCTGTCTGATGAAAGTGGGTACTGTAGCAGGGGTTGGCTAACGTTGCTAGAATCCGTAGAACATGTTTTCTCTCTATATGGACGAACCATGATGTTGGTTCAGGAGCCTTTTAAAGAATATGCGGTATCACAGGACTGTTTCGACGTTAATGTAAGCGAAACTGTATTTCGTCGTTTGTGTAATGTGGTTGTTCGGGCTGTGCAGCATACCGGATCCGAAGTTCGCCTTACAGCAGTCCTTGTGCTTGTCTCCATATGGATGGGGTTAGACACCGCCGCCCTGCCTTACCTCGTGGGTCTATCGGCCAGTCAACGCAAGCTTGTTTCGCTCTACTACAACAAGGTCGCGTCTGAACGCAGGACGGGGTTGCACGGCACAGTTCAGCAGCGCGACTTGTCACGTGAAATGCGTGTCATGCGGCTACCGGAGGCCGAATGCTTATAGATTTGGGGGCTGTGCCGGGTTCACCCGCCTTTCTCGTGCGTAAAGCGTTTACTTGCGCAAGGAACAGGGATCCCCCCACTCTATTCCCTTCAGTGCGTAGTTGAGGGTGTGTTTTTCTTCTTGTTGTTTTTTGCTTTGCCGTGCAAGCACCGGAATCTCCTGCCGCGGTTAATTACACCCGCGCATGTCCACTGGCATATTTTTATCACTGCCCCCCCCCCTTTTTTTTTTTTTTTTCCTTCATTTTTTTATTGTCAAACCTCCCAATACGGAATTCGACACCAAAGTTATCATCAAGGCAATACAAAAAGGCAGGAAAAAGAAAAATAAAAACAACCGTAAGAAAAGGAAAAAAGGGCATAAAACACGCTTGAAGACTGGGATATATATATATATATATTACCACGTATAAAGGGAGGAAAAGAAAAAAAAAAAACGAGGAAGAGCTGAGATCCATCAATTTTGGACATCATCGAATGTCTTACATTGTTTTTGCGGTGGATAACGCCGACAGACTGACCCTTCTCGGTCCACCAACTCCCGAAGGGCCAAACTTAAAACAAATCGCGCTGAGTTTTATTCAGGCACCCAAGCTTGCGCGCCGATCATCTACTGGAGAATTTGGGCCCGAAGAGCCTTTTGCTTTTGAGGCGGTAGAATTAATGCGCACAACGTTTATTGGGAAGCCTGTAAAGTTCACGGAAGATTATGTAATTGATGTTCTCCAACGACATGCGGGACGTCTGGAACTTTCAGGCGGAGAGGATGCTTCTGTTCTACTGCTGCAGAATGGGTTCGCCACCGTTTCGGAACACATTCCAGCCCGTATGGAAAAGACATTGTTTGCGAAGTACTCTGCACTCATGAATGAGGCAAAGATGGCAAAGAAGGGTATTTTTGCTCCTGATGCGGCAAGTCACACGCGTGTCCTTCGTGACCTTACTGCGGAAGAGACATCCAAGTTGGGGGAAAAATTGAAGGGAAAGGTTGTTCTTGTGCGGGTTGAACAGGTGCTGTCGCCAACCATATGCATGGTATCAGCAGAAAAATTCCCCCGTACACAAATATCTGTGCGCATGCCCGGTGTGACGATAAAGGATTCCGACTGTCTTGCCGTCTCAACTGCGGCACGCTTTCATACGGAACGCTACTTATTGCACCGCAAGGTGAAAATTGCCTTTGAGGGGTGGATTCTTTTGGTACATTCTTGGCTCAGTGACTTCCTCCAAGGGTGTATTTCAACGGAACTCCTCTTGCATGGGTTTGTGAAAATAAACGTCTCTACATTGGCATTTACAAACCACGCTGACGCTCTACGGGCTGCTGAAAAAGAAGCTCGAGAAAAGCGACAGGGGTTGTGGAAAAATTGGGAGGAGTCTGGGGAAAGTGGTACACTCCAAGTCAAATATGGAACTGCCGCCGCAGAAGCCCCAGGTCTGGCTGTGAACAATGCTAACAGCAATGATGGTCCAGAGTACAAGGGACCTTTGTCTTTTAGTGCGGTGGTAGTGCAGATTGTTAATGGCGACACCATCACCGTACGCTCAGACGAGAAGGGAGAGCTTATTCGAGTCTCTCTTGCTGGTGTGCGTTCGAGTAAGAATGTTACTCGCGAGCAAGACGGTCGCTCTCCTGAGACACGTGTAAGCTACACGGACTACGAGTGGGAGGCGAGGGAATTTTTGCGCACACATTACATTGGCAAACGCGTGATTGTACAGGTGGAGTATGCACGGCAAATTTTTGAGACAAAAGAAGTTCGACCAGTGGTACTTGTGAAGATTCCAGAGACGGGAGCAAACATTGGTCTCTCTTTACTGGAGACTGGATACGCCACCTTTCTTCTTGGCAAGAATGATGTATGCTCTGAAGCTTCCTTGCTGCAGATTGCTGCCGAAAAGGCCCGTGAAAAGGGTCTTGGCACCTACGGCAAGGGAAAGCCCCCAGTACAGAAGATTGTTGAATTGCACCACCTTGGGAACGCTCGTGGGAAGTACTATCTTAGTTTCCTTCAACGTGGTATGCAGGGTAACCGTCCGCCACTATTGAAGGGAGTTGTGGATGCGGTTCTTGGTGGTGGCTCTCTTCGAGTATATATTCCAAAGGAAAATTTTCAGATTCCGGTAAAAGTTGCGGGAATCATTACGCCTATGGGCGCCGCAAATAGCTCGGAAACCGCCGATCCCTTTGCAGAAGAATCAAAGGACTTTGCCGTGACCAGATTGCAACAGTTTAACGTGGAGATCCAGGTCCATACGGTGGACAGAGCAGGGAATTTTATCTCCACTGTATTTCTTCCAGATGGAACCAATTTCTCTATTGCCACAGTGGAGGCGGGACTAGGGACTGTGGCCAACGCCGATCGTCTTCCCTACTATCAGCAACTCATTGACGCAGAGAAGAAGGCGCAAAAGGAAGGAAAATATATTTGGTCAAACCAATCCTCGATTCCACAGCGTGCGGCGAAACTAATGGCAGAGCGGAATGCCAATGGTGTCAATTGTTACAGTCGCTCCTTTGGTCCAAAGTCAGAGTTTATCCCGTATGTTCTGTCAGAGGTGGGAGAAGACGGGTATTCTGTCTATCTGCAGGAACAAGGCGATGAGAATGAGGAGAGACTAGAAACACTGCAGGATCTCGCGAATAAAGTCTCATCGTTGAATGGAGAATACCAACCCAAGCGCGGCGAACTCGTGGTTGCGCAGTACAGGAAGGACAAGTCATGGCATCGTGCCAAGGTGCTCCATGCAAAAAAAGGCGAACAAATCGTTACGGTGCTGTTTGTTGACTTTGGTACCGTGTCAGAGACGTCGGTAAAAAGTGTAAGAGCAATTCCACGTGGCCCAGAGTTTGCGCTTTTGCGTGACCTGGAGCCGTTGGCACGCCTGGTGCGCCTTGCATTTCTCAAATCAAAGGTTCCTTCCCCAGAGGCCAATGCCGGTTATGCGTGCGACGTTGCGTACGAGTACACGGATGGCGCTGTCATTGCAAAGGAGGTTTACCAGGATGGGCAAGGCAATGTATACTACACAGTAACCGTGAACGAGAATGTCCCTTCACTGAGTGAGACGTTGTTACAGCGGGGTGTTGCGTTACTTGACCGAATCGCGGAGTCTGTTGACCCGAGTGAATATCAACGGCATGAGGCGGCCCAAGCAATTGCCCGACGCAGTCACAAGGGGATGTGGCAGTACGGCGATATTGACGACGAAAGTGATGGCGAAATTTGAGGAGAGTGCGGAAGCAAGCAACCAAATAAAAAAAAAAAATGAGGGGTTGAAGGGGTATTTATGCGAATTGGGATTTAATTACGTTTTCATGAAAAAGAACGAGAAACAATCGAACACGAAAAGAGCAATGGGGGAAAAGAAGAAACGCGGCAAGTGGGGAGTAAGAGAGGGAAGCGAAAACGAAAAATAAAAATGAAGCCTTCAGTTCTTGTTTGAAAATGTGTTGTTCACGGGGTTTTTGCGCTTTGCTAATTCCCTTTGGAAGGTATACTTAGGGATGATTAATCTGCGAATTTGTATCTACATGTTTTTTCTTTTTGCTGTTTTTTTTTTTTTTTTTTTGTTTTTTTGTTTTTTTGTTGTTGTTTTGTTTTCTATGTCTCACTGGGCGTGTTTTATGCATGTCTACTTTTCCTCCCTTTTTCAAGTCGCGAGGAAAAAAAAAAAAAAAAAGTGCGTTTTGTGCATTCACGCACACATGTTTGGGCATTTATATAAGAACGGTTGTCTTGCCATCTTCTACGATGAGCATTTTTTTTTCTTTCAGTGCACGTTTTTTTTTTGTTTGTTTGTTTGTTTTGTTTTGTTTTTTTGTTCGCTTTTATTTCGTTGTTCTTTTGGAAATTATTATTATTTTATTTGCTGTTTTTTTTTTTTGTGTGTGTGTGTGCCACGGTTTTACAATGAAGCTTTTTTTTTTTTTTTTTGCACGCGACCCCACAGACCCTGTTGCACGGGATATTTGACACTCACTTGAGTATTTTCAAAGGGCGATGTCTGCTATTCCTCACTTGCAGAAGCAACTGCGGGAGCTCACGACAAGCCCCCCTGCTGGTTTCCGCGTTGAATCGGAGGATCTCTTCACTTGGACTGTTTGGTTTGCTGGCCCGGAGGGCACGCCGTATGCCCCGGGAATCTACAGGGCGGAGCTTCGCTTCCCAAAGGAATTTCCGATGGAACCCCCGATGTTTAAAGTTCTTTCCTCCTTTTGGCACCCCAACGTGTACGCGGATGGCAAGGTGTGCATCTCCATCCTTCACCCGCCCGGCGAGGACGAGATGAACAAGGAAGAGACGGCCATGATGCGCTGGACCCCGATTCAGACGATTAGTTCAGTTCTTTTGTCAGTTGTTTCGCTTCTCAGTGACCCTGATCCAAAGGACGCGGGCGCCCCTGCAAACGTTTCAGCGTTGGTTCAGTATCGCAAAGACCGCGCAGCATTCAACTCTTACTGTCATCAGCTAGCGCAGAAGTCGCTGTCAGAGCTTCCGCCGAATTTTATTCCTCCCCAGAAGGAAGATCGTGTGGAACGTACTGTGAATTACGTCTCTACTGTGGAAATGGATTATGAGGACGATTCTGAGACGGATACGCGCAGTGCTTCCAATCGCTTTGGCGACGAGTTACGCCAGCTCCGGGAGATGGGTGTTGCGCCGGAGAAGTCGGATGCTGAACTACTTGGCTTGCTTGTCGAGGTGAGGGGTGACGTGGCCACGCTGATGGAACGGTTTATGTGAGCCTTGCGATGGTAAATAATAAAAAAAGGAAGAAAAAAAAGAGCGAGAAAGGGAGGAGTGTGGTATTAACGGCAAAGGAGCATGGCGAGTTGAGGGGCCTCTGAAAAAGGAAGAAGAAAGAAAAGTAAAAAACCCGCTCCTGACGGCTTTCTACAACATCACCCACTAGTGCGGATCATCCTCCACCATTTTTTTTCCCCTCTCCCTCTAACAACGGGGATCGTATTACTATTGCTTTCGGGTTCTTTTATTGGATTTTATATTTAGCATAAAATTTCGGTCATTCACTCAGTGTGCGTGTGCCTCTATGTGTAATTTCACAATTGGGCGGTGCTTCTAGAGTCTTTCCCTTGGGGAGTCTGTGTATATGTGGAGAGGGGGAAGGAGGGAAGAGAAGAGGGAGGCATGAATTGAGTTTTAAATTGAAGTGTAAACGAACTGACGCACAGAAAAAAAAAAAAAAAGATAAATGAAGGATGTTGATTTTTGCTGGGAAACAGAGAGACGCAATATCGAACAAACAAAGGAGAAGAGCAATAAAAAACTTCTCTTTTTTCTTGTTTTCTTGGCTTTATCCTTCTTCTGCATTTGTTTTGTTGTTGTTGTTTTTGCGTGTGCTTTCCTCTCATTATTATTGTTGTTATTTGCTTTTCTGTGGAGACGCTACTAGGGTTGCTTGACTCAAGTGACGCTCGCTCCCATGTGTTGGCAGTGTGCATGTACGACTCTCCTTTTCTCCGCTACCGTTTGAATCAAAAAAAAAAAAAAGGAAAGGAACGGAAAGGGAGAAGGGGTTCTGACGGGCATTTTTTAGCTTTTTGTTATGGCGAGCAAATCAAAGAAAGAGCCGCAGGTCGTCGGCCTCTTAACGCCGAGCTCCATTAGTGGCCTGCCGCTATGGGATGATGCACAAATTCAACAGGAAAATTGGGGAGGGAGTCTTGGACTACCGACGCGACACACCGGGGCAGTAGTGGAGTTTCGGAATATGGAGGGGAAGATTGTGGTGGCGCACGACGAGGCCCAGCGTGAGGCATTCAAAGAAGCCCTGACATACGTTTTGGTAAGTACAGCAGCAGACATTATTGTGGATTGGAAACGTCCTGTGGATATTTTTGCTCCGTTTCGTCCAATGGTACACCGTAATATAACGCCATTTCTTTTTCCATACGACACGGAGCGGACCCTATTTGACGGCAAAGCTGCAGAGGAGGCTGCACGACTGTCCGCCACGCCTACAGGCAAGAAGGGTGATTCCAAGAACGCAGTTCCCCCTACCCCTTTACATGTGCAGTTTCCGGAGATTGTATATGTGTTGGAACCGCAAGCCGTTGATGGTGCTGCGAGGGAGTGGGAAGGTCTTCCAGATGAGAGGGTTGTTGCGCGCTATAGAGAGCTTCAGCCGCTTATGCAGGCATATGATCCCAAACTGGAATTGGGTTGTGCAGCAAAACCTCTGGAAGCGTGTGAATCGCAGTACACCACTGTGCAACGCCATCGGCTTCAGGAGGTGGATGCGATATCAAAACTCGTGGAACCACCTCCATTTCTGATGGATGCCTTTAATAGTGCAGTTAGATTTATTGAACATGCACAATCATATGTAAAACACGGTGAGTATCTATGGGAATTAGTGTATCCACATGCTTCAGTTACATGCCACCCGGTGTATAACCCGCACGGAAAATATGCTGTTCGACTTTTTATTGATGGAGCCTTTCGCCGAGTGACGATTGACGACTACTTGCCGGTGGATGCGTTGGGACGTCCGTTTTTCAGTTTAACTTCGCAGAAAGAAATTTGGCCGGCCCTGTTGGCGAAGGCCATTTTTGTGGCATTGGGTCCAAACTGTCATCTTTTGTTTACGGATCCGGAGACGATCATTACATGTTTATGGGGTGAATGGGTGCCGCAGCGTGTTGATCCTCGCAGCCAACCCACCGCGGCATGTGCCTTCCTGATTGCGTATCAGAAGGAGCTTGTAAAGGGCGACGGCAATGCAACACACTTTTCATTTTCTAATACGGAAGAAACCGCAATGGCAATGGCAGCGGGAGAGGAAGCGCCAGGAAAGCAGAAGAAGAGTTCCGTTGTTGAAGACGCTTTCTCTAAAAAAGAAGCACCAATAATGGTATCTTCCCCGAATTCACCCTCAGTTTCTCCTGCAGGTGAGGATGTAACCGATGTTTTAACCACTTTTCCTGTCTGTGCGATTAGCCCCGTGGAAGACGGAAAACGAAAGCTGCTTGTCATACATGAAATTCTGTTTTTTCGTGATACGTTGGCAATCCACATCTCAACCACTTCTCCACTGAAAAACTTCGAGTCAAAAATACTGAATGAAATAAGTGACGATGAAATCGTGCAGGATTTGCTGCATTTTAAAACACTCAATGAGCATAAATGGAAGATTCCTGGGGCCGTTTCATCCAACCAGTTCACCTTGTGGACCACGTTTGAAGAGTTAGCTGCCCATATGGAAATTGTGGTCTGGCGGTATTTGGGCGAAAAGACCCCTTTTCACTTCAGTAGCCGATTGGTTGGAATTGAAGAGGGACCACCGTTGCCAGCAACTGGAAAGAAAAAATCAGCTGCTCCCGCAGCTGTCAAACCTTTCTCGGGCGGGGGAAAAAGGAATATTGTTCGTTGGATGCACCTGAAATCCGATAGGCCAGAACAAATTGCGTTTGTCAGCTTAGCTGCCTTTGCCCTTCCTGATAATTCATTGAGGTTGTCCCGAGCCTATCAGCGCTCCATTTCTTCGGGAAGCTTAGTGGCTTCGGCACAATCGCCCGGTCGCTCAAACGGCAGCAGAACTCCACGAGATGTTGTGAGGGGAGTGTCTCTTGATCTCTATGCGTGGGAACGGGGTGGTACATTAAGCCGTGTAGGATTTTTTCCGTATGAAAGTGGCAAGCTACAATGTATGGTGCACTCACTCCCGCCTGGTTCACACGTTTTACGTCTGACGGCTGTAGAGCTTGAGCCTCAGCATGTTCTCAGCATTCTTTCAACGAAGGAATTTTTTATAGGGGATGAGAAAGATGCCATTCATTCCGCAAATATATTCCGAATGACTGATGCAGGGAGTCATATGGGTGTGGAAAGAGCAAGCGAGGAGGTGATGTGGCTAAAACGCTGCATCAACGTGAAGGAGCCAACTGTTATCTCCTTTGTTGTTTCGACACTTGATCCCGGTGAGGATCTGGCAGCCCATCGTGATATTCCTGTCGCGTTGTTAAAAGAGGTCAAAGGAACAAAATCACGTGCTGTAAGCACAAAAGGATCCCAAAAGGAGTCTGTAGAGGAGAACCAAGTACGCGTAGGGGAGGTTTCTATTATACCACATTGTCACCTTTTATTGATGAATGTCGACAATGGCGCTGTCCGCACTGGAGTTGCAGGTCGCCTGATTTGCCAACGATTGGAACCAAACCAACACGGATATTTGCTGATGGTGTACGTGTTGATTGACTCGTTGTCTGCAGCTTCTTTTATAGAAAGTGGCATGGGCATGCCGTTGGAAAACCAGGCAAAGTCGCGTGAAGGCTCAAATTTTTATCTTTTGGATGAGAAGGGCAACTCAGCTGCGCGCGAAAAGGCGCTGCCACTGTATGGGAGAGGGAGCTGGAAACTAACGATATCTGCAGATCGGGGGTTAGAATTTTACAAGTCCATCCCGCAAAACGTGTTTTCTTTTGCCGATAAGGGTAAATTGAGGCGGGGAAGCCACGCTTTGCTTTTTGCCTACACGTGTGCAGTGGTGGAGAAAACATCCTTTACTTTGATACTTGACCTTGATTCACACGATCCAATCCCATTCCACGTCAAGGTGGCGCGTAATGGTGTGGATGCGACCCCCGTATTTGTTTCGGAGACCTGTACCACGCACCTCTTTCTTCCACACGTGACACTTGAGATAGGTGAAAAGCCCAGGTCCACCAGCTACGTTATTGAAGCTTGGTTGGATGAGGAGAAGGTGCAACAGTGGGAAGAGAGATGCCGTGTGGCTCAAGAAACAAAATTTCGCACGCTACGCGAGGATGCTGAACGAAGGGCCATGGAAAGACGTCAAAATGACCTTAATGAATATCACGCCGATCCACGTGCTTTTCAAGAACGCTTGGAACAACTTAATGCGGCGCAAATGGAGCCCGTTCATCCCCCAAGCTTGAGGGAATCGTTATTGGCTTCCAACAAGAAGGGACGTTTGTATTCTGACAAGCGAAAGCACCCAGCGGGTGGGGTGATGCCCGAAAAAGAGAAGGTGGCATCTGGTCCTTCAAGCCCCACGTTGCCATCCAACCCGGTGATATTTTTCCTGGACACTACAGATAGTGAGCTTATGGTAAGCTTTAGTCTGCGGTTGCAGTTTTCTTCAAAGGTGGATATCAAGAATGGGGCACCACCAAAGGATCCGCTGGCGACCCTGCGCGCTGGCTGGGTGCCACCGATCGATCATGTTATGGTGGATCAGGGCACTGGGTATACGCAGCGAGGAGGTGGAATCAAGGGAAAGCAGCGAGAGACACAGGTTTCGGCGGAGGAGTTGCTGAAGGCAGATCAAGGCCGTTTGAGTCGTCAGCGTTTCCTAGAGAACCCGCGTAATATTCTTTTGCCCTACTTGGCGGCATCTGACGATGTCTCATTGCCAAGCAAAGAATCAGCACGCACCGGTTTATCTAAAGATCAGGGCGTGATGCCTGTAAACCCGTCACGTGTGGTGCTGGATGTGTCGGAGGAGGCTAACTACTTGCACGCGCCCATTTTAAACGAGTCGGAGTACTCTATTCAGGTAATTCCTCTCCGCGCCGTCGAAATTATGCCGTCTTGTGACCACACACCACCAACCAGTGCTTCTGGTTTCATGCAACAGCGTGCAAGATCACCAGGTGAAAAGGTTTCACCTCGCTTGGCCGCCTTTCCCCAGCCAACCTTTATGCCTAACGCAGCGGCGGACGAGGATGCCGACGTTAACGAATTAAGGGTGCCTATTCAAGAAGTGTACAGGGGACTTACTGAAAAGCTTAAAAAACAGCAAGATGAGAGGATACAGTGGCGAGAATGTACTAAGGAGGTCTTGCGTGAATTCTGGGGAGCACAGAAGCCAGGTGCTTCTCTAGTGTCCCTGTTAGGCTCCAAGGAGGAGCTCCCTGTTAAGCGGCGGAAGAGCCGTCAAAAACAGTGAAATGCCCTCTGTATTTGTGTTCCTGTATTTCTGTCGATTTAAGCGTAATTTGGAGTCTGAAGTCAGATTAATGTAAATAGCGTTGAATACACTGTAGACCATGCCTTTTGTTGTTGTTTTTTATTTCTATATGTTTTCAATATTAAGGCAAATGCTTACGTGTTTATTGTATCATATATATATATGTGGGTTGCTTTCTGTAATGAAACGGTGTCTGTATTGTTCCTTTCCTTTTTGTTGTTGTTGTTGTTGTTGCGGGTGGTTGCATCTCTGCCAACTTTTTTTTTTCTCTTTTTTTTTTTGCTTTTTTCCACATCTTGTGTTGTTGTTTTTTTTTTTTACGAAGAGGGATTACTTGCACATATATATATATTATATTTATTTATTTATTATTTTTTTTCTTGCAGCGCAATCACGCCAAATACAAGTCACACTACCGTTTGGCCAACGCAAAGAAAGGGTGTAGCAAAAGGGAACGGCGCTTGCGAAGAAAGGAAATAAAGGGTAAAAGTAAGGAAGAAGAAAAAAAAAGACTGAACCAAAGAAAAAAAAAAAAAAGTAAAAAAGAAGAACCGCAAAAGAAAGAAAGAAAAAAAAAAGTTGGTCTTATTGGCAGCCTGTATAATTTACTAAGAAGTCTTTTTTTTTTCTTTTGGATTTCGTCATTTTTTTTTTTTTCGGTTACCGTGTGTGTGGTGAGGTCCTTTTAAATTTACATTTTGTTTGTAGTCGCTTTTTGAGCTTGGCAGTAGGCGAACTTTTGTACTGGAGCCCATCGTGAACCCCCTGGTGCTTTTATTTCGCTTTTGGACAGTTTTATTCCGGTTGAGGCACAATGAGCGAGTCGATCTACGACGTCACTCGCCGCATGACGTTGGGCGGTGGGAGGGGCAACACCAACGTGGACTTGGAGTCGATCAATCAAGAGCCCGGCTCTTTCGTCCCCGCCTTCTTTTTCCCCACGGGAGCTATGGGAGACGCTGAGAACGTCAGTGATGACGGATACTTGGAAAGGGTGTTTGAATCGCTGTCGATGAAGCCCGGCAAGTTGGACCCAGAGGCTCTTCCGGCGATGGATGATGCACTGCAGACGAACATATTGGATGAGGCAGCCGATGTTGACTTCCAGTACTGTTGCCAACAAACACTACAAGAACAGCAACAGGAGCAGGAGGCAGGCAAGAGGGAACAACAGCAATTGGACCAGCCACACTCCAGCGGCCAGACTGACTCATTTGAAGGCGTAAGCCCGCTGTATGAAACAACACCGCACTCATTGGAACACGCGGATGCATACATCAAATACCCCGTGCCATCAACGCCATTTTCTACCAACAGTGAGATGGCAAGTGAGTCACAGGCTTCTGAAGCCAATGTGTACACGTCCATCACAGCATTACCAATACAGGGGAGATCACTAGACTTTCGGGGTTTTTTATCAAAAAAACAAGTGGCTTCTGATATTCTGAAGGAAAATTCTGTCGGTGTCTTTGTTGGTCAATTACCTTCAACGTATTCAGAAGAAGATACTGCCGCTCTTCTTCGAGCTATTGGCGCGGATGCTGGAGTGTCAGTTCACGTACGGGACGTCAAAAGCCACAATCAAAGCCGTACCTGTGCATTTGTGGTTGTCAACCGCAGCGCCTTGCCAGTGCTTCTTGGTTATTCCAAGCGTGTATTGTGTGATGTGTCTTGCGTCTGGGTTGTGGAGCGGGAACAGGCCGCCCACTTGAAGGATTACATCAATGGTTTTGTGAGGGATCGTCTTCGTGGTGTCCCTAAGGCCGCTCTTGTACTGGAGGAATTAACTCCACAGTACATGCGAAGCCGCACCTCTGCTAGTAAAGGGGGGAAATCGAGTAATCGACATAAGGGAGACGTGGGTGCTGTCCCAGAGAATTTTTTAATTGCCACAAATGATGTTAACTCCATCATAACTTCTCATCCACTGGCAATGAATTTCGTTGTACCTGGATGGAATTCTATGGATACGTCGGCTCTTTCTTTTCGTCCCATTTCAAACAACACTGGTGTCACGCCGTTTTTGAACAATAATCCCGCTCCAAACATTCCCGGTGTATTGCAGAACCATATTTTGCCCACAACACTGTCGCCATCGGTGGTTGCCCCCGTCCCGCAGGTCAATTATTATGTTATTGGGGCTCCTCCAAACGGATTTCAGGGCCTTCCACCAAATCAAATAAATACCAAGGTATTTTCTGCACCCGCAGTCAATGGGGGTGGCAATGGAACTGGGAATGTCGGTCTCGGCAACTCGGGGACTTCTTTTCCATCAAGTTTGTCGGATTTTGGTGCTTCCTATAACGCAGTTCCGCCGCCCCCAAAACTTCCTGAGGGAGTTTCACGCTGTTCTACTTGTCTCTCGCCTATTGGTGCGATGGAGCCTGTTTTTTTGTTTCCTCAAGACAACACGGTGATGTGCATGCGTTGCAGTAATCAGCGAGGTGCTTGCGGGGATGCGGCGCAGGCCACAAGGGGAATGACACCGTTTATTGTGCCCCAGTCGAAC